GAGAGGGTGTTGCAATAATATGATAGTGGTATGACCAGGTTTGTGTAGTGCACTGAGGTTTCTGGAAGCACTGTATACACATTGCTGCTATTATGAAATGTTGCTTAGACCATATTGGTACACAATCTACTCTCTCTCTCTCTCTTTTTTCTCATGTCCCTGCCTTCTCTCTCCCTCTCTTCCTCCCTCCTGGTTGATGTGTGCAGTCCTGAATCTGACGGTGGTGGATCTCCCTGGTCTCACCAAGGTCCCAGTGGGTGACCAACCTCCCGATATTGAGTTCCAGATCAGAGACATGCTCATGCAATTCATCACGCGAGACAACTGCCTGGTTCTGGCCGTCACCCCCGCCAACATTGACCTCGCGACCTCTGAGGCTCTCAAACTAGCCAAAGAGGTGGACACTACCGGTTAGTGGGTAATTACTTATCACACTGGAACCATTCTAATCCAGACACCAGTGCAGACAGAAGAGGTTGTCCATATTAGCAAGGTGTCTTAATTTTAGGGGTTAAATTGCAGGAACTGTTCTATGGGAAGATAAAGTATAATTATACTCTAGAGAGGTGTCCTCATTTCAGGGGTGTACTTGAGAAGGTTCTCCACCGCATGAGCTCTCCTTTCCCTCTCATTCCCTCTTTCTGCAGGGGTTCGTACCATAGGTGTCCTGACAAAACTGGATCTGATGGACGAGGGAACAGACGCACGAGACATTCTCGAAAACAAAGTGTTCCCGCTGCGCAGGGGGTATGTGGGTGTGGTCAACCGGAGCCAGAAGGACATCGACGGAAGGAAGGACATCAGAGCCGCACTGGCTGGCGAGAGGAAGTTCTTTCTCTCTCACTCTTCCTACCGCCACATGGCTGATAAACTGGGCACTCCTTACCTCCAGAAGGCACTCAACCAGGTACAATGTATGTTTGTACACATTGCTGAAAACTATTTAGTGTGAAAACGCTCATGTATTGGTAGCAATTCGCAGAGCAATGGACGCCTCACAACCATTGAATTCGCAAACCTGCATAATAGCAGGGAGACTAAGGATGGAGAAACATTCTTGTTTAGTTCGTAGCAATCTGCATTGTTCGTGAAGATAGTTTTCATGGATAGCTCAAACGGCAAGCGATTGGCAAGACTTACCACGGCTGTAGCTGTAGAAAGTCCCCACACTGAAGTTTTAGAGTTAAAGAGGAAATTCCAAAGATTGTTGTTATTACTAGGGACTGGTGTGTGTTGGTGCCCACTCTATAGTTTCTTTCATGTGACTTTTTGTAAAACAGTTCTTTGGGAGGATAGTATTGGTTTTGGGGGATAATTCAGTTATTTTCCTATTTTGATAAGTTTTCAGTCCGTCCCTTCCCTCCCTCCCTCCCTCCCTCCCTCCCTCCCTCCCTCCCTCCCTCCCTCTCTTTCACTGGTGGTGTGCAGATGCTGACCAACCACATCAGGGACACTCTGCCGTCACTGCGGACCAAGCTGCAGGCGGAGGTCCTGTCCATGGAGAAGGAGGTGGAGGAGTACAAGAAGTTCAAACCAGGAGACCCCGCCATGAAGACCAAGGCCATGCTCACGTCAGTCTTCCCCCTCTCTTCTCTCTTCCTTTATACATATACATACACATGCACTGAGGGTTGGTACGACGTATTTTTAGTACGTAATTCATTGTCTTCCGTACTGACTGTGCTTTCAATGTTCATAATACATGTAATACAGAATAACACTTTCTTGTCTTGTTATATTATTGTTACCCACAGGTTGGTCCAGACGTACAGTCTGGAGTTTGAGCGGAGGATAGAGGGAGGAGGGACTTCAGATGGAGCCGCCTCCCAGGAGCTCAGCGGAGGAGCCAAGATCAGCAGAATATTCCACGAGAGGTTCCCTTTTGAGCTGGTCAAGGTGGGTGGGCTTCAATTAGAGTGTCGTACGGTACATGTTGTGTGTCGTGGTGAGTGGATGGTTGAAGAGACACACCAGGAACAATGGTTGACCTTAGAGGTTCACAGACAGGCTAGTAACTGTTGGTGCCATGGTTGTTCACCGCATCAGGTGTGGAATGGTGACTAGCAAACTGCTGTGATGTTGATATCCACTGAATGTACACTGTACATTGGACAGTGTATTGATTGAGTGGGTTTTTTTTCTATGTTGGCAGTTGGAGACGGATGAGAAGCAGATGAGGCGGGAGATTAGCTACGAGATAAAGAACCAGCTGGGAGTCAGGTACAACGCTCACCACACCTCCCTCATGTTGATACCAGTACTGGAGTCTATTGTCATTCATACATTCAGCAAACATTTTAGTCAAAGTGTCTAAAGTAAAGCTGCGCCTTTGTCCAATATTAGACTAGAGTATAATACTTGTCACTAAAGAGCTGCTAATACACGTACACCTCTCTCCCTCTCCCGCTGGCAGAGTTGGTCTGTTCACTCCTGACCTGGCGTTTGAGGAGATAGTGAAGCGACAGATCAAGAAGCTTCTGCAGCCGTCCCTCAAGTGTGTCGACATGGTGTCCACGGAGCTGGGAGCCGTCGTACAGACATGTTCAGAGGGGGTAAGTAGCTCAATGTGTCTCGCTCCACCACGGCAGAATGTACATAAGATCCCACCTGTCAACGAAAAGAGTGTTGTCAGGGTCAACTTTGCCCTTTTTAATTTCTAGGCATTGAATGAGGATCAGTCTACAATGTTAATAATGGGGATAATGCAACATACCCACTCCATGTATCACCTCTGTATTAGTGTCTCTCTGTCTGTCTGTAGATGGCCAAGTACCCACGGCTGAGAGATGAGACTGAGAGAGTCCTGTCCACGCAGCTCCGGGAACAAGAACAGGCTTGCAAGCAACATGTGAGTCCATGCCTCCTCCATCACTCTCTCTCTCTCTCTCTCTCTCTCTCTGTATTCCACCTTACCTCTCTGGCTGTCTGTATTCCACCTTACCTCTCTGTCTGTATGTGCTGTGGTCCACAGCTGAAGCTGATGGTGGAGATAGAGCTCTCCTACATGAACACCAACCACCCTGACTTCATTGGCTTCGACAGAGCCTCCAAGACCAAACAAGGAGGCACCCGGACTGCCAGCCACCAGCTCATCCGCAAGGGCTGGCTCAGCATCCCCGTCTCCCTCATCAAGGGCTCCACCAGAGAATACTGGTTTGTCCTCAGCTCTGACAGCCTCACCTGGTACAAGGACAATGAGGTGGGTCTCATTCCCATGTGTCCGTGCCCCTTACTCCATACCCCAGTTTTCCATTCCCCATACTCCATTTTATTTCCCAATACCTCATTCTCTACCATTCGCCAATACCTTACGTTTCCATTCCCATTTCCTCGTGTTTGCATTCCTCCATTCCTCATGTGTCCATACCTGAACCCTCAGGAGAAGGAGCAAAAGTACAGTCTGAGACTGGAGGACATGAGGGTGAGGGATATCGAGGCCGGCCGCTTCTCTATCGGCAAGAAACATGTGTTTGCTCTCTTCTATACCACTGGCAAGTGAGTGAACAACCAGCTGAGTCACATGACTGTCATGTGACCAAGTTAACTACATCATATGACTGTCATGTGACCTGCAGGAACGTGTACAAGGACAAGGACCAGCTGGAGATGGTAGCTCAGAGTGAGGAGGAGGTGGAGAACTGGAAGGCCTCTCTCCTCAGAGCTGGTGTCTATCCTCAATCAGACAGCAGCTCCAGAATTGACGTAAGATCTCCTTCACCTCTCTTCACCTCACTCCTTTTCCACTCAATTTCTCATTGCACACATTTTCTAACTAAAACTAACTGATGGTTATGGATTCCATGTTAGCTCAACTTTCACTGTCACTCCTGAGCACTAGTTCATCTTGTGACAGAGCGTAAATAAAGAGAAAGTCTTTTTCGTGCAGTGAGAAAAAATATCTCAGCACTTAAACAAATGAAATACTGTCAAAGTGGCATGTTGGTGTCCAAAAGTCTCCTGTTTGGGAATTTCATGAAGCAATTAATGCCACACATACTTCTCCCTCCCTCTCAGAGTGGAGAACAGGATTCCATTGATCCCCAATTAGAGAGGCAGGTTGAGACCATCAGAAACCTGGTGGACTCCTACTTCTCCATCGTCAGCAAGAACATCAGGGACTCCGTCCCCAAGAGCATCATGTTCATGATGGTCAACAAGGTCAGCTGAAAAACCACACCCACTGACCACACCCACTAATATGTGTCGATGTACATGATTGCATTCCTACAATTCTTTGGTGAATAATTTCGCAGATCAGATTTATTCATAGGCACAACTCTATTGGGCAATATCCCCTTGTATTTGCATATTGCAGACTGCATGATTAACATGCACCACGTCTCTCTGCCCCAGTTGAAGGAGTACATCTCAAAGGACCTGCTGGCCATGATCTACGCAGCGGGGGACCAGTCAGAGATGATGGAGGAGAGTCAGGAGGCCACTCTCAGGAGAGAGGACATGATCCATATGTACCACACCTGCAATGAGGCCCTATCTCTCATACGAGATGTCACCTCAAAGACTTGTATGGCTCCATCTTACAGCCTTGCAGACAAAACGCACATGACTGACAAACAGACCTCACTTTCACTTTAGTGCACTTTTGCCAAGAATACAACCTTTAGCCCTGAAAACATCTTACTTCACTTGAACGTAGCCAACTCTACTTTTGGTAGAATTCTGGCATAAGAAATGTGCATAATTCTTCCCTCTTTCCTCCTCTCTGTCTCCACACTTCACCTGAACTTAGCCAACTCTTATTTTGATGTCCATTTCCGTTTCATTTATCCCCCCACTTGCAGTGCACACGCCCCTGCCACCTCCTGTGCAGTATGACGACCAGTCAGACAGCCACCACCGCCACCCAGGAGTCGCCCCAATCCCCCCGCCCCTCCCGCCCGACACGCCCAACTCCGGTCGATCTCCCGTACCTCCTGCTATTAACAACGACAGGCCTCATGTCCCACGGTATAACATTCAACATACACTACAGTATTGCTATATTGTGTTCTTTACTCTGTCACTACAGACGTCCTTCAGCAAACCCAGGACCTGGAGGGACACGCCCTGCCCCACCCCCACCACGCCCCTCTGTCCCACAGAGACCTCACTAGACCACACCCACCTCCTTTTATGGAGACTTTTAGAAAACAGTTATATATATATTATTGTATTAATACTCTTGCTTGACGCTAGTTTTTTATCATAATTGTATATTATATTATTTGCATAATTATTGCAGTTATTACGTAACAACCAACTCTGTGCCACGACAATATGCATGCAAGAACAAAAGATCGACGTTTGCTTCACTTGTTAAAGTCATTTTTACAAATTGAAGATGAAGGTTTATTAATGATGGAGAACATGTGACAGTTTTCATTAATGAAGGTTTATACAGAGATGACATCACCGGTACAGCAGGCACAAGGCACCACCTCACTCTTCCCCCTCTCCACACCCTCACCAATCACTGACAGAAGCTGGAATATACGGTCCACTGTCTCAGTTGAGGTGTGAGGGGGAGGAGGAGGAGGAGGAGAGGGTGTGATGTGATGAGCACGTGTGAATTGGCGGAGATGGAGGGGGAGTGATGAGGGAGATGAGGGAGGGGGTGGAGGAGAAGGAGCTTCATGTGAGGTGGTTGGTCTGTTCTCACGAGTTCTGCCAGTCACCAGCTGTTTCATGAGTGTCTGTACCTCTGACAACTGAGCCTGGAGAGAAATGAGTGGCACAATAATTGACTAATAAACACAGGAGCCACCCTCACTACCTGCACTGCCTCCTTCTCTGAGACAAGCTGCTGAATGAAATTGTCTTTTTCTTTGAACTTTGCCCTCAGAGCCTCTCTCTGGGCCTGGTACAGCATTACGTACTCTCCTGCAGTACAGCACAGTATATATAATATATCAGATACCACCACTTGCACCAGTATAATACGAGACCTCTGCACTACGGACACACTTGAAGGCTTCAAAAGTATCTCACATTATGTATGTCCCTCACTCTGAGGTATTAGTTTAATTATACCAAGTGTCCTTATAAAGGAGGTGTCTTTTCCAGATATCATAGAGAGTTGAAATAGACTGACCAATGGTCTCAGTCTCTCCAGAGAGCTGTCCAATGGTAACCTCTCGTTGCTCCACCTGCTCAACAAGCTCCGCCTTCTCCAACATCACCGCCACATACCGCTCCTTTGGACAGGCCACACCCACTCTCAAACCACACCCACTGAATCCCCAGACATACCTGAAGAGCATTAAAGTTGACCTGGAGTGCAGTGAGTATGTCTAGTGTCTGATTGGCAGCCTCAGCATCTGCAGGGGAGCCCCTGTCATTAGCAGCTTCGGTGTCTGCGGGGGAGCCCCTGTCATTAGGACTGATAATTGGCTGCGAGTGGGCCCAGTCAGTTGCGAGTGAAGCCGTGATATCTCCTCATGTAGACTGTCTCTCTCTATCACCAGTTCCTGTGAGAGGTCAGTCAGTAGTCCTCACACAGTCTGATGAGGAGGTAGTGGGGTGTGTCTTACCTCCAACTGTAGCCTCAGACTCTCCCTCTCTTCCTCCACCTCCTGGGATGTGGGGGGAGGGGGTACTGTAATAATGACGTGGAGTTGGAAAACCTTTTTCATTTCAAAATTCGCTGAGAAACCTCGCTGATGGCTGGTCCCACAATAGACACATTTAGAGAGGCAGACATCTATAAAACTACAAACGTTTCCTGCAGCCTCTGCGGAATGTTACATTTGAACTATTGAACCTCTGGACACAAGCCTGACTCACAACTTTAACAAAGTGTTCTCCCTCAATTTCCACAGACTGTACCTGAATTTGGTGTAAGAGGTGGTTAGTCGTCTCAGTGTCTTCCTCTTCTCCTGCTGTGGTCTGTGTGTCCACCTCGACTCCCTCCTCCTCCTCCCTCTCTTCCCACCTCGTCTGTATCCCTATCTCTGCTCTCTTGTCCTCTCCCAGCCCCTCCTCCTCCTCCTGCGACTGTGACGCTGCCTCCAGCTGCCTCGTCAGCTGAGACACGTGGAACCTCTCAGTCTCAACGTCCAACGCCAGCTCCATGTTCTGCTGACTCAATCTCACGAAGCCATCCTGCAACTCCACAAGTTGAGTCTTCAGCTCTCTATTTTGGGCCACCGCCCTGCTCAGGGCCTCCTTGTCTCGCGACATTGTCTCCAGTAGAGCTCCTGAGTCTATAGCACTCTCCCTGAGCCTCTCACCCTCTCTCTCTCCCTCCTCCACCTTCCTTTGCAACTCTCCAGTCAACCTCCGTAGCTTATCACACTCTGCCAACTGAGGGGAGGGGTCAGGGGCGTGGCTGGAGGCGTGGTCTCTCACCTGTGACTGAAGCTGAGTCTGGAGCTCTTGATTTTCTTGCTGTAGAGTCTCCATGGCAACCAGGGTTGATTCTTGGTACTGGGCATGCTCAGAAGATGCGTGTTGAGCAAGTTCATCTGCACAGAAATCAGGCCAGATCAGACATGAATCAGATGGTGTTACACAAGATCACAAATGAATCGGATGGCATTTTACAGAATCAGATGGTGTTACACGGGATGACACACGTGACACAGGGGATCATCTCACATTGTCTCTGGGAGACGTCCGACAGTTGCTCAGACAGATTCAGTCTCTCCGCCTCACTCTCTGCCAGCCTCGAATGCAGCTCTGACAACTGACACAAACACAACAGAAACTCGCTATATACGACATTAATTTATGTCGAAGGCTCACTCTCTGGGCGGAGTCTTGTCTCTGTTGTATCATTGCCTCTCGGAGAGCGTCGAGATCCCCGAGAGCCTGGTCCCTCTCCCCACTCACACTCCTCACCACTCCCTCCAGTCTCCCCACCTCCCCTTGCAGCTCCTCCAGCTCCCCGGCAGCCAGCCCCTCCCCCGACCCACTGGGAGAAGACGGACCTGCCGACAGCTGCTGGTTGAGGAGCTCCGCCATCGTCAGTCGACTGCGGAGGTCAGAGGTCGTCTGTTGGAGGGAGTGAAGATCAGCTGCCTGGCCGGTCACCTGATATGGAAGAAACGGAGAGAAAAAGAATTCTTTATTTTTTTACGCCCCAACCCACCATAAACAAAGATAAATTATGACACACTGTTTTGGCCTCTTGCTAGTGGACCCAGTTTTAGTCTCAGACCAGCTGTGGTCTCACCTTGCTGACTAGCTCAGTGTTCTCCTGTCTGGTGTCCTCGAGAGCTGTCTTCATCTTCTGCAAGGCACCCTCAGCCTCCTCCCTGCCCCTCCTCTCCTCCAACAGGCTCTGTACACAAGACAGTAGCGTATTATGTACTGAACCTGTGACTCACTCTGTCCAGCTTTGTTCTGTCCTCGATGAGGGAGAGTTTCAATCTCTCATTCTCTTCCAGCTGCAGTCTGGTTGACTGTAGACGACTCCTCAGGTCCTCCACTTCCCCTGCAGTGACACCACGTGATCCTGACTAACACAATCTGACACGGCTTGGCGCGGCTAACTCGTCTTGTGTCTGAGGTCAGTCTGGAGGGGGTGAATCTTTGACTCCAGTGACGACTTCTCTGCCACCAGAATATCAATGGTCTGAGCCTGTGCAGAGGCATTATTATAAGAATGAGACAAGGAATGGGAGATAGAAACTCCTCCTTGTATCTTTCACTAAAGGTAGTGATATCACGGAGACAAAAGAACTTTCATAAGTGGCCTATGAACATCTCCTTATTATAGGGGTATGGGATATTCCAAGATGGTGAAACTAAAGTGGGCACACCCACTGAAAGTAACCCCGTGAGGCGAGACAGGGAGAAAGGCTGGTAGTGTAGAGAGCTGACCTGGAGATAACTGTCTTCTGATTCACTGTCCTGGGAGATACGGTCCCTTGGTGGGGTCAAAGTTCGTGCCTTCAGGCTCCACCTATCACTGTTGCTGTATCCGTTGGCAACGGGAGCAGGTAGGTCAGTAGGTGTGGTCAATGAGAGAGAATTGCTGAGCTGATGCAGGAACATATCATGACCAAAACACATGATACACACACAACTTACAGTGAGTGAGGGGAGAGGAGCAGTTAGTTCTGGAGCCCCACCGGCTCCCTGGAGTAAGGCATTGGTCTCGAGAGCCTGAGGGAAGAGAGAAGGCTTTAGCACACACCGCCAGAGCAGCGGGTCGGCTCACAGGGAGGGAGAGAAGGAGAGGCACAGAGCCTTGTTTCTTCTTGCCGCTCTGCTGTCGAGCCTGGAACTTCTCCAGCTAAAGAAACAGAGAGGCTGGAGCCGTTTGGAGGTCTCACTGGCAGTCGCTAACCTTCTTTCTACCTGCAGCTAGCTTCCCACTTCTGTCTTTGTCCCTTGTCGACATCGCTCGTCCTAGAAAATGTCAATATTACTCTCTAATAAACCGAAACGTTGCCAGGCTGGGGATAAACCGTATACATGAGTTTTGATCCTAATTACTCGTGCACGCTGTGCAGAGATGAAATTTTGAAACAGTGAAATGCATTTCGCTGCAGCTTCAGCTTGTCGTTTTCTCTCGCGACTACAACGAGGACCTGTGGCTCTACTGGTAGGACACACGAGACTAAAACACCTCATGGCGTCTATGGCGACCGGGAAACTGGACACTCAGACGTTCAAGGCTCTACTGACGCCCGATCTCCTGCTACTTGAGTCCATATTCCGGAAAAGTGGCTACGGTTTTCGTCTCGTGGGTGGAGTGGTGAGAGACCTACTGCTGGACAAGAGACCCAAAGATATAGACATAGCGACGGAGTGCAGACCCGACGTCATGATGAGACTATTCGAGGCAAACGGCATCAGATACATCCCGACGGGGCTCCAGCACGGCACGGTGACGGCTCACATCGACCATCGAAACTACGAGATCACGACGCTGCGGCTAGACCGGGTGACTGACGGCAGACACGCGGTGGTGGAGTTCACGAAGGACTGGAGAGAAGATGCAGAGAGGAGAGATCTCACCATCAATGCCATGAGTCTGGATCTCCAGGGGAACCTCTACGACTATTTTAGCGGAGAGCAACACCTCGCTGAGAAGAAAGTGGTGTTTGTTGGAGATGCTCGCAAGAGAATATGCGAAGACTTTCTCCGGATTCTGCGATATTTCAGGTTCTACGGTCGTATTTCCCCCTCACCTGACCGCCACGACCCCGCCACACTGGAGGCAATCAGAGAGACGGCTGAGGGGCTGACGGCCATCTCTGCAGAGAGAATCTGGATGGAGATGGCAAAGATTCTGCAGGGAAGCCACGCCCCTCATCTTCTCCGCACCATGTACGATCTCCAGGTGGCCAGACACATTGGTGAGCAGAGGACTGGCAATGAGAATTGTTTTGATGCTAAAATTGACTCCTCTGTCTCCAGGTCTTCCAGAGTGCGGTGATCTGACAGAGTTTGAGAACGTGTGGTCGGTGATGAAGAGGATAGATGGAGGAACACTGCAGCCAGTGTCTCTGCTGATGACCCTGGTGTCGTCCTCTGAAGAGGCCCATCTTCTTGCGCACAGGTGGAAACTCTCCAACAGTGAGAGGAAGCTGGGAGTGTTTGTCGTGGATCACCGAGCTCTGGGCTACAGACAAGACCTGCACATAAAGACATGTCAAGATCTGCTGGTGGACGGAGTTCCGTGCAGCTCTGTGGTGGAGATGCTGCACTACTGCAATAGACTGGAGCTGGCTAGGCAGTTGGAGCAGTGGAAAGTCCCTAAGTTCCCAGTGAATGGGAGAAGATCTGCAGTCTGCAGGGTTCAAGGCAGGTCCAGGACTGGGGAGGATGATTAGACTGCTGCAGGGCAAGTGGAAGGAGAGCTACTTCACTCTCAGCAGAGAGGATCTTTTAGAGACCGCACTCCGAGACCAGCATAAACACTGACACTCACTTTTCCATTCTCTTTTGCTGTATAATTTATACTCAGTGCATGTGTCTCAATTTTGGGTTAACTTTTTCAACATTTCCAAAATGTGCAGCGATAAAGTTTAATGGGGTATACAAAATGTAAGTAAAATGAACCCTATAATATCCTGTGGTTTATACTTGTTAAGTTTCACTCTGTGCATAACCCCTACAGACTCCAGTCTTAGGATTCTCCCACCAATTTCCTATGCACCTCCTGTGGTGCGGTGCTGTTGGTAGCATTGCGATGGGTGTGGCCTTCCTCTCTAGGCTTGTAGTCTGCACCGTTCCCGATGACTCGGGACGGTATGAGAGGACACAGCCAGCAGATCCACCAGTTCTCTCCCATCAGCTCCTTCATTGTCTCCGGGAAACTGCGTCTGTACGCAGTGACTCCTCTCTGGAACTCCCAGTAGGTCTCTCCATGAGCCGCCTGGTAAAGCTGGAGACACAGCAGCCCCCCAGCCCCAGGTGGCAAACAGAGCCACCGAGGTCTCTATCATGGTGAGTGGACTGACTGGCATGATGTCCAGGAGCCAGGCCAACATTGGGAACACCAGTCCAGGGATTACGGTGAGGGAAAACCCTCCAATCAGTGTGAATACTGCCACGAAACTCATAATGGCGCCCATGAAAGCGGCGGAAGTGACGGATAAGAGAAACGTGAAGAAGTAGCGGTGGTTGTAGAACCCGACACACCTCCCCGTGAAGAAACAGTGGTGATCTCTTCGCAGAACGCACCGCTGACAGATGAGGCAGTGATGGGAGCGAGGGGGTGCATAGTGCTGGCAGTAGGGACAGTGGAAATAGCCCGGCTGATTTATGACCGGGAGAGCCACGCGGCCGCAGGAGGTGTCCGTGGTCAGGAGGAGCCAGTAGCTGGACACCGTGTTGAAGAGCAGGAAAGTCATGAGCCCCACCGACAGAGTGTAGGCGGGGTCTGTGGGAAAGACGACTGGGGCGATGTTGACTACACCGTGGACGTAGGCCAGCGGCACCATCACCACAGTGAACGTCATGGCCATTGTGTCCGTCGAGGTACGAGGAAAATACTTCTTCAGCCTCAGCAGCATCATTTCTTTTGCACACCGCAGTTACAGTCCAGCGCATGCGCAGAACCAAACTTGTTACGTCGTCCATATTATATACACATGTTTTACAGTGGCCACTAAAAACAAGTTTTGTCCTCATTTGTGTTTCTTGGCCAATCTTCGCGGTCGCTGGCTGGCAAGAATAGCACTGGCCTTCCTGACAGCAACCTGGGAGAAGAAGCACACAGAGCTACAAACAACCCTCACAGAGACACACACAATACAACATGAACCAGGCTCTCAGCTCTCATAATCTTTGCCATCATTGCAGAGCTCGAGGAAGAGACCAAAGCAGAGAGAGTGAGAAAGGAATGAGGCAGAAAAAGACAAAGAAAGCACAGAAAGAGAAAAGAGGTGTGGTCCTCCCGCGGAGCTCCAAAACACAGCCTCAGTCAAGAGTTTTCATCATCGAGCCTCATACACCACAGAGTCACCTGACCTCAACCAGATCTCGACGGTAGCAGTTCCCGCCCAGGTTCTTCCTGATGGCCCGGAACGTGCGTCTCCTGTCGCCAACCATCACGACATCGGAGAACATCTTGGCAGGTCGCCGGGTCCCTCCACGCTTCCTCCTCGTCCTCAGAACTATACCCTTGTTATCCGGACCAGCAGTGATACCCACAGCCTGATGGAAAGCAGAAACACAACATAAAACTAGGCAAAATTATGGTGTAAATCTGACCTTTTTATTCACTAGCCCATTGTACTTCCACGCGTTTATGCCGGTGAGGTTGTTGGGCTCCTGGTGGGAAGGAAGCAAAGTAATGCGATGAGAGAGAGGAGGGAGGAGGAGACGTACAGTTGTGAAGGTGTTGGCCTTGGCGTACTTGCGGCGGACCAGGAAACTGGACGTGTTCTTGATCAGCAACCACTGGAGATCCGGTGAGTGAGTCGTCATCCTATAGATCAGAGCAGACTCCGCCAACGAACCTCTGAGCGAATCTTGCCAGAAAAAACGACGAAAGAAGAGGCACGGGGTGGGCGTCTTTTAGAGATTAAATCGCACGTGGCCGGCCGGCGCGGTGTGTGATTTACAAACTGCGCATGCTCAGAAGGAATGGAAGACCTGAAAGCTGCAGTAGAAGAGCGTGTAAGTGCTGGTGAAACTCTGCGTCTCCTCAGACCATTGTCAACAGCTACAGAATGGAGACTCTCAGTTGCTGCTGGTTGCCGTGGCGAGGAGCATTGACTCTGGCCAGTCCCAAGCTGTTTCTTCACTGTTTCTGCAGCATAGGGTAGAGCAATGGGGAAGACCCTCTCATTACCTCATCTAATTACCTCCACAGGACGTGGTGAAGGCTCTGGGATGGGACCTGCTCTCACTGCTCACCCCTCACCTACCTCCCAATCTTCCACCGTCACCTTCCTCCCCCATTTGGCAGCTTATCACTCTCATCTCAGAGGTATCCAATACTCTTCACAAACACCATCACCTCACATATAGAAATCGCCTACTATTGTTATAGGAAGAAAATGAGTTGTGTATAAGCTAACTATGACTCATTGCGTCCAGACTTGTTCAGCTAAAGAGATGTGTCTGGCTTTCCTGGAGCAGCTGGAGGCTGTCTCTCCCTCACCTCCTCTCTTCTTCCACCTCCTCACCCCTCTCCTGACTGGTGAGACCTGTGAGACTGGGGAGAGGGGGAGGAGGGGGTTGTGTGTCTGCAGTTCTGGTGAGACTGGGGGTGGGAGATGGGAGGAGACACCTCTCTACTCTGAGGTCTGTGAGGTCACTGACTGCCAGAGTCTACCCCAGTCTGGAGGAGGAGGAGGAGGAGGAGGGATTCTCTCCACTGACTGCAGCTAGACTAGTAGTGTCTCTGGTTGGGCCATTCACAGCTCACATTCATCATCAGTTTACCAGTCAAATGGTTAGCCACACTCAAATCTGGACACTTGCACAGTTGTAATCTCTTTAAAAATCATGTGTATAATTTATATAGAATCTTCATGATATTCAGTCTGAGCTATCAATGGAAATCAGCTTTATACAATTACAAAACCTTGTCTACCAGAGTTTAATGAGAGTGTCTGTTAATTGTGTTGGTTGCAGGCTCCTCTGCAGACCTACTGGTCCCCACTGCAGAGAGAGACTGCATGTCTGTGAGTGTTTGCCTCGCGACCACTCCACACTGTTCTTCAGTCTCTCCTCCCAGGCTCCTGGTTCTCTTGGCTCAGCCTCTCGTCTCTCGTAACCTCTCCAGACACGGCTCTGAGGGCAGGACAACTGCAGAAACCATCATGGTACACACAGTAACATTGCAGTTTATATATGAGAACTCTCTCTCTATATATATATGCTTTCAGCAAAGAAACACATTTTCTTAAATCTGGGCTCTTTTTGGCTCAATAAGTTTTTGTGCCAAGAGTAGCATCTATCGCTTAATAGCTGTAGCTATTACTGGCCGACATTTGTCTATTAGTTTGTCTCTATGACATGGAGCTCTTTGGCCAACCAACACTGTATGTTGCTACAGAGAGGGGTTGTTCGGTGCCACTGTGGATGTCTCCAACTACTGGAGACTGGAGAGCAGAGTGACCTGATACCAGCTCACCACCGTCCAGATGATGATGATGATGATGACAGCTCATCTCCCTGTCAGTGAGAGAGCATCGTGGCAACTGGTGCTTCAGTCCGTCGTTTATCTCCTCCAGTTGACATTCCCCTGGTGGGCGTGGCCTGTTTTTGTGTACCTGGTGCTTGTGGAGGGGGTGGAGTCAAGTTATCTCCCCTCCCCTCTCCATCCTCACCATCTCCTCCACACTTCTCTCACTCACACCCTCACACTCCTGCACAGGTTTGTCTTAAACACACACACCAAGTATAGAATTTGAAACTGGTTACATCAAAAGTGAAGTATCCATCCGCTGTGTTCGGAGGTACTAATGTATTAGTACATGTGTTGAAGAAACAAGTGTTGAAGAAACAAGTGTCCTCTATAGAGAGGTGTCCAGAATATTCACTGTACACTCATTTTCCCTCAGACAAGAGAGACACTCTGTTCTAAAAGGACTGGTGAGTTTGTGTTTTATCAGCTCTAAGATTTCCAGAATTGTATTTCTGCAGAGTCTGCTGGAGACTGTGGTAAAACGTGTGGAGACTGACTCTCTCCCACGACACCTCCTCAGCCACAGTCGCTACCTTGACACTGCCAAAGTCAGCCCTCCCTCCCTCCTCCTCCTCTCCTAATGCCTCACTCTCTGGTCCCTACGACAGAGTCTGGTAGATATAATGGTCACTTGTCCTCACAAGACCCTGGTAATTGGTGTCCCGGTGTCTATGATGTAATTGTCAATGATGTAATGTTTATCTCCAGAGACAGAGGAGCCTGTCTCTATTGCCCAGTCTGGTCCAGAGGTTTACCTCACCTGGCAGACATACAATGTACAGGTATACAATCAGCCAGCTCCTAGTTCACATGCAACAAAATGGGAGGTTCAGCCCATTGCATTAACACTGTAAAATTTATGATGTGGTTCTGTCCAAGTTGGGTCGTAAGGGGACTTCACATCTCTCTCTCTCTGTCTGTGGATGATCAGGTGTTTGTTGAGAGAATGTGGGCATGCTGGAGTACAAGGAATGCTCATTCACTGTCTCAAGAATGAAGTGGACCGTGCCTTGCTCTCCGTAGGCCCCTCCCTCTTTTCTCCATTGTTTTACGTGCTGTACAGGGAGAGGTCCTCCATCCATTCCTCGGTCCAGAGTTCATTCCACTGTTACAATAGTTATGTCATTCCCCCTCAGACTCGGAGCTACTCAGACAGACTGACAGTATGTACATAAGAGAAAACAACTACACACAATTTGCAAGGCACGATATTATTTTAATAAGACGTACATATGGAGTTAGGTAATCGTAAATGTAATCTCGTCTTATTTGCTGGCCCTATACATCTTAATCTTGCCAAGTTCTGTTTTCGTGGTTTTGCGAAAGAACATAATTATACCAAACACCAGAAATTAAATTTGTTTCTATGCAATTCCATAGTTGCTGTGAATGTTGTGGTCTTATATACCATCTTTGTGTTCCACGTCTGTACAGAGTGATGGGAGGACTGAACTTCCTGAGGTTCCTGCTCATTAGAGACAAGCCTGACTCCAACATGGTGGGCACACTCCTGCTGACTCTAGTGTTACTACTGAGCATGCTCAGTAGACTGGAGTCTGGAGTCTGGTCGATGAGGTGAGGTCAAAGTTCACCAGCCCGGTGCGTCTGTCTCTGGAGAGGAATAAAGTCCACATCAGAGGTGAGAGGAAGACCCTAAGACAAGGCAAGACCCTATTCTGAACTCTGATGTATTGAAGTAGAAACCCCTTCCTTTTTAATTATCTGCATGTGAAACGCTGGAGGGTCGGGTGTGAAAGCAAAAACATGGACAAACTTTGTCACTGACAGCTAAATTGCCTTTTGTTTATGAATTCAACTGTTATTTTGTTGCTACTGTCTTCACTCTGTCTCTAAGCAGGTGGTGGTGGAAAAGGAGGAGAAGGGCCTGAAGTGACTGTGGAGGTAGCGGGAGAGGAGGTCCCTGAAATTAACCCCGAGGAGCAGGCCAGGGTATGTGCCAGCTGGTGTGGAGTTATGACTGACACTCCACCTTTGTTCCTCTCTGGTAGATGTTGCAGCTGGCAGAGCACCAACTGGACATGCTGGAGTGTGTGCTAGTTAGGGTCGAGGAACTCCTGGAACATAAGTCATAATTATTTCCTATTTGTGCGAAACACAGTTCAATATTGTTTTACAACACGTGACATTTTGCGCATGCGTGTTACATGATCCGTCATTTTTCTCTCGCCTTCGCGTTGTTGCCCCTCTGTGTGTGTTTGGCGGTCGAGCAAGAGAAAGAGAAAGAGATGGCAGACAACGACATTGATAACGCGGCGGATCTGCTGGACTATGACGAGGAGGAGAATACCACTGAAGCGGCGGCTCAGAACGACGCGGGCGGGGCAGAGAACACCACTAAAAAGCAGGTGAAAGGGAGCTACGTTTCCATCCACTCGTCCGGCTTTCGCGACTTCCTCCTCAAGCCGGAGCTGCTGAGGGCCATCGTGGATTGTGGCTTCGAGCATCCTAGCGAAGGTCTGCCGCCCCACCCCCCCGTTCCGTCAGAGACGGCGTTCAGCCATTTTCTCTCTCCCTCACAGTTCAAGACGAGTGCATACCGCAGGCGATCCTCGGGATGGACGTGGTGTGCCAGGCCAAGAGCGGCATGGGGAAGACGGCCGTGTTCGTCATTGCCACTCTCCAGCAGCTGGAGCCTACTGATGGACAAGTCAGCGTCATCGTCATGTGCCACACCAGGTGAGAAGAGGAAAGAGAAACAGGGAAGTGATGGAGAAAGAGAAAGGATTGTAACAAACCACAGCCTTTCTTTGTTAATTTTCGCTCTTTCTTGCTAATTTTACCCCTTGCCACACCCACACTCACACACCATCACAGGGAGCTGGCGTTCCAGATCTACAAGAGTACGAGAGATTCAGCAAATACTTTGACAACATCAAGACGTCGGTCTTCTTTGGAGGGATCAGCATCAAGAAGGACGAGGAGGTGATGAAGACCAACTGCCCCCACATCGTGGTGGGGACTCCGGGGAGGATCCTGGCCCTGGTCCGCGACAAGACCCTCAATCTCAAGCACATTAAGCACTTCATCCTCGATGAGTGTGACAAGATGCTGGAACAGCTCGGTAAGTCACCTCGATCCCCCTTCCCAACCTTTTTCTTCCTCGCCAAGCTCTCTTGTTATTAACCCAACCCCTTTTCTACCTCCTTACCCTTTTTGTTAGCTTCATTTTGACCAGAAATGAGCGTTTTTGAAACGAAGGGGGCAGAACCCTGTGTCTTTAAACTCGCTCCACCCCTGAATAGTGAACCCTTGGTGACTTCCCCCCTCCCCCTGCAGACATGCGTCGAGATGTCCAGGAGGTGTTCAAGATGACACCCCACGAGAAGCAAGTCATGATGTTTTCTGCCACTCTGCCCAAGGAGATCCGACCCGTTGCCAAGAAGTTCATGAATAATGTATGAGCTGCAGATGAGTTTGTTGGTTGCTGGCTGGGAGTTGTTTGCCGATGAGAAAGTTGTGGTTATGTCTCTCTGTGTGTGTGTGTGTGTGTGTCTGAGTTGGCCGCCTGGTGTTGTATTTGGCATCGGTTCAGTAGAGGCAGTCGCGGGTGTATCTTGGTCTCGAAGAAGCTACGAGTCTGGGTTTGGTGGCAGTGCGCTTGTTGTGTGTGTTTGGTTGGAGTCTGTCTGTGTGTAGTTACCGCCCTCTCTGTGTGTTGTGTGGTGTTGTGTGGTGAGCTGAGGTTCAGCGGAGGTGCCAGCCGCACAAGCTGGGATGGTGTCTGCCGTTTCTCTCTCCCTGCCACTGCATGGACTGACGTACACCACTAGCCAGCCCCTCCCTCACTCTCCCTCTCTTTTTCTGTGTAAGTATCTCCAACTCACCAGCAAGCCCTCCTTCCTCAGCCAATGGAGGTCTAACGTCGACGACGACGAAACTCACTCTCCACGGACTCCAGCAGCACTACGTCAAGCTGCAGGACAAGGAGAAGATAGGAAACTCTTCGACCTCATGGATGCTCTAGAATTCAACCAGGTGAATCCTGTTACCCTTACTTCGAGACGTGGCCCCTTCATTACTGTACAATTCCTCCAATTTGTCTCTGCGTGCGTGTGGCTCCAGGTGATCATCTTTGTCAAGTCAGTGCGAGAGGTGTATTGCTCTGTCTCAGCTGCTGGTGGAGCAGAACTTCCCAGCCATCTGCATCCACCGTGGAATGCCCCAGGAGAGAGGTAACCTCTTAATAAGATACTCCCTGGGAACATTGCCATTGCCTCAGAGGTACATTAGTATGGTGTAGAACCAGTGTCTTTTGCAGAAAGGTGTGCCTTATTTGGAGTGTTGTGTTTGGCTGCATACACAGCAATATTCATGAGTCTGCGTATACCATGACTCTTCTCTTTCCTTCTCTCTCTGTTTCCCAGGTTGGCCAAGTACCAGGCGTTCAAGAGCTTCCAGAAGAGGATAATGGTCGCAACTGATCTGTTTGGGCGTGGAATGGACATCGAGCGAGTGAATATTGTCATCAACTATGACATGCCTGAGAGTTCTGACACCTACCTCCACAGGGTCTGTCTGTCTGTCACTAATGGCACCACATCATCCGCACTCCTGTAGTGTGTATGTACCTCTACAGGCTCTGAGCACTAGTAGTCACTTGTGCCACCATTTTTCTTTCTTCCCTGAAACCTCTGAGTATGGGACACGTTGGAGGACACTTGAGTGTCCCTATCTTCAGAACCGTCCCGCACTATTGTGTTAGTATAGAGAACCAAATGCCCTCTGTAGAAAGGTGTGCTTTTATTAGAGCATCCCGCACTATTGTGTTAGTATAGAGAACCAAATGCCCTCTGTAGAAAGGTGTGCTTTTATTAGAGCGTCCCGCACTATTGTGTTAGTATAGAGAACCAAGTGCCCTCTGTAGAAGGTGTGCTTTTATTAGAGCGTCCCGCACTATTGTGTTAGTATAGAGAACCAAGTGCCCTCTGTAGAAAGGTGTGCTTTTATTAGAGCGTCCCGCACTATTGTGTTAGTATAGAGAACCAAGTGCCCTCTGTAGAAGGTGTGCTTTTATTAGAGCGTCCCGCACTATTGTGTTAGTATAGAGAACCAAGTGCCCTCTGCAGAAAGGTGTGCTTTTATTAGAGCGTCCCACACTATTGTGTTAGTATAGAGAACCAAGTGCCCTCTGTAGAAGGTGTGCTTTTATTAGAGCATCCCGCACTATTGTGTTAGTATAGAGAATCAAATGCCCTCTGTAGAAAGGTGTGCTTTTATTAGAGCGTCCCGCACTATTTGTTAGTATGAGAATCAAATGCCCTCTGTAGGAAGGTGTGCTTTTATTAGAGCGTCCCGCACTATTGTGTTAGTATAGAGAACCAAGTGCCCTCTATAGAAAGGTGTGCTTTTATTAGAGTCCTTTTTCGGAGGTTTTTACAGTACAGGTAGCAGACTCTTTCAAATTACATACTGTGTTGCGCAGGTGGCCAGGGCTGGTAGGTTTGGGACGAAGGGTCTTTCGGTGACGTTCGTGTCAGACGAGACGGATGCCAAGATACTGAACTCAGTCCAGGACAGGTTTGAGGTGAACATCACCGTCCTCCCGGCAGAAATAGATGTCTCCTCTTACAGTAAGCAGCTCTGATCTCTCCTAGAGTGTGTTGGTTATTATTTCTCTCTCTCTCTCTCTCTCTCTCCCCTCACTTGCAGTTGAAGGGATGTGAACACTCAAGAACTAATCAAACTGAGCGTGCATTATAATTTTGTCACACATCTTACTCAAAAACTAAGCTGTTACTTGCTGATACAAAACTTCTTTTCATATAACCCAAAAGACGGGGTGTGGCAAGATATCGGTGGTGAACGTGCATGTGCACTATCTATAGAATGAAAAGCACTGAAGTGCAAACCCTCGGCGCACTGTGACGCGCACGCGTAAGTAAACCGTCATGCGCCGTACCACTAATTGATGGGCTGGTTTAGTGTTTAGCTGTTACCTCGCCAGCTCGTCGCAGTCTGACGCGGGCTAACTACACTACTAGATAGCATGCGAGAGGCGATACACGCCCTGCGTTGACATCTTCTGGTGCCTCCGAAGTACGCAGAGTCACGCGGATCGATCCGACTGTGGTAAGCCATCCCGTCCGTTGTGTATTTGCATATTGGCTTTTTCGCGCTCTAGCTTTGCAACGGAGCAGTTTCAGAGAAAACCTCTCGAAATTTCTGACCTTCATTGCCCGTTCAGTAGGTGGTATCCTTTGTGAGACGAAAGAACATTCGAGAAGTGAGATGAAGAGTAACAGACAGACTGACAGACAGACTGACACACAGACAGACTCCAAGTACTGTAACCCTGCGCTGCGACATCGGCGCGCCGAGGTTAATTATGACCACACCCACGTTATTTCAGATCATGTGGTAAAAATAGTCCATGCAGTCCATAATTGCCAAGCCTGATTCTTTATTCACTTCCTACTCTCCAGAAACTCGAAGCTTTACAGGGGGCACATGTGAAGTCAGTGACCACTCACACGAAGGAAAATAGTCATCACAATACACTCAGGGGTGAAAAATGCGAGATACGTCAACAATACACTTGATGTACATAATATCACTCTTTACGTAATTATTTTCGTCTAGTACATCACTCTTGGAAAATTGCGGGCATCCAGACGCGACATTCATATCTGAAGTTGGCCGTTTGAAGGAGCTGCTCTCTGGAGTTGGTTTGAATGTCTGGACAATATGTTTTCTGTGGTCCTGGTCCACTAGTATTAGTGAGACCTTGTGCTCAAATGGCCATTTTAACAGCGGGTCATACTCGCCTCGCATTAGAACAAAGAAGAGAGAGAGATGTGTCTTGAACCCGATGCCATCTCCGTTCAGATAGGCTCTAATACACATCTTGTACCCATTCCGCCCGGTGTAAAACGGAGGGCTGTATATCGACGTGATTCGTTCTTCGATCGCGTCTCTCCTTCTCCGGGCAACGTCGGGGATTCGCCACAGGAACGAGCCGTTGTGAGTGCTAGCCAGTGAAGCCTGCAGTTGGAGCTCAAGCTCTGATACGTGGACCTTTAGCATCGTGTTCTGTCTCTCTAACTCCTCAATCTTTCTTTCAACAACTGCCATCCCTGGAATCGGAGAAAACTGTCGCCGTACCGAGATGCCCCAGAACTTGGTCTACCCTTCGATGTAACCACCTGACCCTGCACTTGTTTCAACTTGTCTTCCTGGGCTTCAAGCCTCCCTCCCATGGTCTTACTTGTATCCGTCAGCTTAGAACAGTCACGGCGTACGGAATCAATGTCTCCTCTCACGGTATCTAATGCACCGAGCTTCTTTTGTAGTATTGTAAGGCGGTTTTCATACTGACTTTGAAAAGCCTTTAGTTCAGTCTCTACTCTCGACAGTTCTCCAGTAGCAGTGGTTTCTACTTCCATTAATTTCTGTTTCTCGTCCAACTTGGAATAGAGTTGTCTATGTGAGCTGTGTAAAGATCTAAGGAGGTGCTGTAAGGAGCTCATATGCTTGAACAGTGCCCCATCTTCCCTGAAATGAGTTTCCCAGTTCTTCCGCTTCACCTGTAATGAAGTGATTGTAGTGGCTTTATAAATCAGAGTGGGGCCGTCCTCAGGGATATTCCCCGGGTTTGCCCGCCTTTTGGGGGGGAATCCCCGGGACAGCCCCGCGCGCTACACTTACAATGTCCCCACAAGAGCATTCAACAAATTGACAGTGGTTTGCAACGTGATCTTCAAGGCCACTTTTCTTGACAGATTGCGAGCATCTCTCGCACTTCACTGGATATTCCGGGCACCTCACATAATGAGCCTGAGAACGGACATGACATTATTGAGCAGTGCATCAATATCCACTGCTCATTTACCTCCAGGTCTTTAGCAATCATCTTTTCCTTGCAGTGTTTGCAATTTACATTTCTATAGTTGCATCTCTTAGTCCAATGGGTCTTGAACTCGGGCTTGGAGATCATCTCCCCGCAGCCTTCGTTGGGGCACAATTGAGGCTTATGCTGACAATCATGATCCTTGAGGAGCAAAACAACTATGAAATATTGATGTTTGGAGGACCGCATTACTTACTTCATACTCTTGTAGCTTTCCTTGCCAGGGACACCCGCTTGAGTAGTTAGCACACCTTACTTTGAGTTGCGTTATCTCTTTACCCACGGCTCGGTCAGGATAACACTGCGCGGTAGGTGCAGGATTTGGTTATCATGGGTTTGCGTGCTAATACTTGCAACGCCCCGGAGCAGCAGTGCGGTGACAGTGCACTGGGGAGGGGCAGTGAATCAGCAGAAAGTACTAACCGGTTCCTCTCCGAGTTTTATGCCATTCTGGGAGACTCCGTTCTTTTTGATATCATCGTAGCAGGAGCGACAGAGGCGATCTCCCTCCCCCGTCTGCACGGGCTCTTTCAGCAGTAAGTTGCACTCAGAACATAACAGCCCAGGCTTCAGTGGCTCCACAGGAGTCACGTCTCTGTAGCCAGGCATACTACTGAGCTACCCTCTCCTTCTTTCCAGCTAATAAATTAGACACCATCTTCCCTCGCTCCAGACGACGCTCCAGACGCAATGTAATGATTATTCGTGGGCGTTGCGGTTAATTTTCCAACGACAATATTTTATTGTTCAAAGCTGGAAGTGAATGCTAGTTGTGAAAGTGAATTTTAGTTATGTTCCCATGTGATTATTATTGCACAATATCAATATTGAAGTGTCTCCAAGAGCATAAAAGACGTTGGCATCACAAGACAGCCTGCTGCCTGCAGAAGGGGAAAACGTGGGTATCCACATGTCACCATCACTTTCAATATATACCGGACTTCACGGTGATTCCGATGGTGTAAGAGATAGTTTCACAATGGCTTACGTTTGTTAAGACGACTGGCCAACTGCAAGTGATAATGAGAGGGATCTCCTTAATTCCGTGTTTCTTCATGGCCTCCTTGACGACAGCACCAGCTCTGTCGGACTCAGAGACTGAGATGGTGCGATAGAGACAAACGGAGCTATCCTCCACAGCCACCCTCACCCTCCTCGAGGTGGGGGAGGAGGAGGAGGAGGACTGGGTGGTGGAGATACTGCTCTGGCCATGTCTCAGATTGGAGGGTAGATGACATGATTTTTCTCCGCTCACCTGCCACAGTGGGAAAATAAACCTTTAAAATAAAAAGTAATCATGATCAAGACTGGGATCAGGTTACTTGCAGCCTAATACCAGTGTCTTCATTGATCATAAGGAGAGTGTCTTCATTGATCATAAGGAGAGCTTCTGAGTTACCTCAGTGACTGGAGACTCAGCTGCTCCAGATGTGAAGAATTTGGCAAACTGTGAGGAGTCACCAACTGCAGCCCTGAACACTACCCTGGTTATGGAGAATGGAGAGAAATGCATGTTGTTGGTTATGGAGAACATGTGTTGGTTGGAGGGAAAGTTATGGAGAATGGAGAACTGTGTGTTTGAAGGTCTGTTGGTCATACGAGATGAAGTGGAGAAACATTCATGTGCGTGGTTAAGAAGAATTTGAGAGACGAGGTAGACAACTAGTTCAGTGGCTAGAACCTGAGAGCTCTCCTGATGGTGTGTCTTGGGGAGAGCTCAGTGCTAGGAGGTGGAGGGTGGAGGAGGAGAGGGGTTTGGTCTGGCTCCAGGGCCAGAGATAGCTCATGGCTGCAGTGGGAGTTGTTGAACACAGATGAACAATATGTTTACAGTAAGACAGTAACTGTTGTAGTGGGTGTTGATGTGTGATGACTGGACTAATCAACATCTAGCACTTCTATCACATGTCCTATTAGTTGCTGACACCATCTCAGTTCACATGGTTGTGGAGCCACACTGTGTCAAATGTTTTGCAAGAGCTTGGACAGGAAAAATTATTTCTAATCACTTAATTTGGGCAAAAAAAGACGAATATTAATGCAGTGAACTACACATTAATTTTGCTGCACCTACAAATTCTATATAGCAGTGCTATATTATAGCTATATACCTCTGTTGAAGTGAGAGTGTGGGGTGTGAGGAGAGCCAGTGGACGAGGCTGGGACTGTGAGGGAAGGAGTAGAGAGAGGCTGACTTCTGGTACAGACCCAGCTGAGCCAGAATGTGAAACTCTTTCCTTCTCTTGTCGAAATTTACCAATCCCACCTCCCTACCAGCCCCTGACTGGAGGAAAAGGAAGAAACTGCATTCCGTTCATTGTTTCCCAGTTAGGTGGTTGGCAGGGTGTAGTGAGGCGGCTACCTTGGAGTGAATGGTATCAGGAAATGCAGTGTTTGTCATGGTGAGATCAGTGAGGAAGGTCCCTAGGTAGGGAATGACTCCCATCGCCTTCCCCTGCTGCAGGAAACACACACACAGTCAGTCAGTCACGTATATGGCACACCTAGTTTGCTGCACTAAAGTGTCATGCAACTTAAATGTATGGTATGCTGGGTGGGTATATATGATGTGCAAAAACAGTTAATTTTCACGAAACAAGTTGCAAGGACCTAACATTGAACTTGAATGAGACTTGAGTGTTGTCTCAACACAATGCCTTTGTTGGTAAAGGTGAGAGGTTGTGACTCACCGAGTGAGGTCTCTTTCTTCTCCCATTCATCTCCACGTGTTTTGAGGTTCCTTCCTGCAATAGTATGGTCTGACATAGTCACCAAACAAGACCACTGTTGGCCAACTTCTATACCACACACATCAACAGTCACACAGACTATTGGCACCATAACTCTAGGCCGCCACTCTGGACTGCAGTCATACCCTGAAGAGAAGGTCTCTACTGAGGTAGAAGTTGTCAGTGGCTGCAAAGAGTTGGGCCAGCTCCTCTAACAGAACCATCTTCTCTCTGTATAGTACAGACACCACAAATACTAGAGCTCTCTCTTTCTCTCTCTCTCTCTCTCTCTCTAGCTCCCTCTCTTACCTGGACACATTCTCCCAGGCTTTCTTCAACCTGAACACCGGGCCAGACTGAAGACCACTCAACACTGCCAGCAGGGAACTAAAATTCTTCACTTGGCGACAGTGTTGCGCAATCTCCACCCAACGACCAATGACACGCCCCCTTTCCTCTGGTCCACCCTCGCTTCCCAGCACCGTTGCCATAGTTACCAGTGAAACCCTAGGTAATTGAGTGGGGTGAAATTGAAAATGCGACACTCGAAAATGCTGTGTAGGAGTTAGGTATGGAAAATCCCATGGTATGAAAAGTTTATCACCGCTGTGTGAGGGTGTGTGGGTGTGGATGGTCACCTGTTGAAGTGATTGATTGCAGCTCTAATGGTAGGGGCATGTGCTGAACGAGGAGACCTCGCATACCCCAGACACTCGTGAGGGACCACACTCGTGAAGATATACTGTGAATTATTGTAAGACAAGACCTAATATTTTTAACTAGGGTTTGCAATGATGTCTAAACGAGTGTACAAGAACATTACACATGTATAATGTAAAGGCTCCAGTACACAGCAGTGTACTGCATTCTGTTGGCATGGTTGTGGGATATTGTGATAACATGTTTGTTTTATCAAGGTCATCAGTGTATCACAACAGAATTCATCAAAAATGCCACCACTAGGCAGGGGGAGAGGCTGGGAATGATGTCACCAAGGGGGAGAGGCTGGTGATGATGTCACCAGAGGGGAGGGGCTGGTGATGATGTCACCAGAGGGGAGGGGCTGCTCACCTTGTCCTCGGAGGTGAGACAATGAACAAACTCCATGGCTGGCAGGGAGAACAGAGAAAACTGCTGACCTCCACCTGCCGACCCCAGCCACACTGCAGGAACACAGGACACTTAATTACCATGTTTATTTGCAGAAACAAAATTTTAGTAATTATACTGTGCTATAATTATCGTGTTAATTATACAACATAATGAGGCCATACATGTTTTTCTTCCATTACTCTTACACGATGGGTTCACATCCCCCAGCAACTTGTCTCCGTCTAATGAAAGGGTTTTCCTCTTAATATCCTTCCTGGTGTCGGCCAGGGTGTGGGCGAGCCCCTCCCCCCACACCGCAGCCAGCGACTCCAGGTCGCGGAGGACAGGGTGGGACGGGGGAGAGTAGAAATCCAGCCGCTGCGTCTCCAACCACTGCCGAATGAATGAGACGACAGACCTGTAGCAAAAGGGTTAAATTCATATCGCTATGGTGATGTAATAGTTGACTTTTGAACTGTGGCTTTCTCGGCGGCCTCCTGTGCAGTATCAGATGGAACCGGTGTCATGGCAGTTAACCTTTGATAAGGAACAACAGTGGGTGTTACTATTACGTGTAGAGGAAAGAGTGGAGGAAAGAGTGGAGGAGTTTACTCTCCATAATTCCTTTTGCATACCATTCAACCATAAACACACATACTTTCGATAGTTCAAGAACCAGGATAAGGGGTTTGGGGCATTCCGTCTGCCCGTAAAGTTAGCAAAGTTGGCCAGGGCTGGGTCCAGGCAAGCGACACAGGGAACCGTAATAATAATTGGGAGATTCTAGATTTCTCTAAGGTTGGTATATGAAGGGCAAGACTAGGCTGGATCCACAGACTGCAGCCAAAGAAAGTAGGAGCTAATATTGAATGAGGATATTGAATGGGTGGAATCACTGGGCCATGAATACATGTTAACAATGGATTCATGAAGAACTTAGTTAACACTCTCTTGTATACCTGTCTTTCATACCTCTCTTTCAATAGCTCTATGAGTCTGCCTGCCGTCATGAAAGTACGATAGGTTGACAGGAAGCATGTCCTGTAGGACACGTCTACATTCCGTCCTGTAAGGAGCTAGATACTCCACCAGTTTCTCCACAGTCCCGGCCCTCGGCGTCCTAATCCGCTCCCGTCTGTCGTGAGAGAGACAGGAACAGGTTCTGCTGTGGACTGAACTGTCGCAGCAAGTGATGCTGGGACCATCTGTCTCTGTGGATGGCTCCGAATGCTGTCTGTAGGACACACTCCACACCATCCCTTCCTCCTCCTCCTCCTCCTCCTTCTCTTCCTCTTCCCCCTCCACCACTCTCACATCACACTGGGGAAGTTGTGGAAGAGGAGAGAGAAGCACTTGTGGCTACTGCAAGTAAAGTACATTGCTTTAGTGAGAGATTCACTTGCTGTTTGGTCGTCATTTCACTGGCCATTGATTTCTTCTTCTCTGTCTCCTTCAACTCACGCTCGTATAAACAAAATGTGCGCATGCGCATTGGCAGGCGTAGAGCCCCGCCCCCTTTCTAGTTTGTGCACATCACGTGAACGGGGATCGATAGATCATCGAAGGCATCGAGCTCTAGCTAGCTAGAGGATAGTTTGTGACTCTCTGCCACCCTTCTCGATAAATATATTCCCTTCTCCTTCCTCGACCGTGAGAGAGGCAGACGCGGGGCCGTTCCTGATCTCCGGACGGTCGTCACAGAGACGGGAAGAGGTCCAAGATGTCGCTCTTCGGTCTCCCGGAGGAAGACGAGGAGCAGTTCATGCCCACGGGCGGCAGGTGAGAGCTCGCCGTCCTCGATTTCCTCTCGACTCTCCTCTTATTTGCGTTCAATACCATATGCTAATTGGAGCCCACCTCCCCACAGTTCGGGACTAGCGACTATATTCGGCGCCAGTAAAGCCATGGACAAGTCTGGGAACTCCTCATTTCAGTACAAGGCTCCAACTCAACCCAAGAAACAGAAGAAAGGTCGGCTTTTGTTAACATTTTGCCTGCCAGAACCTGTCATACACTGGTTCCCATTCCCCCAGGATCGGGATCAGGACCAGAGACTCACCAGCTGTTGGCCGCAGCTGCCGTGGACACTCAGAAACAGTGGGTGGAGCCAATCCCCAAACTTATCATTCTCTCTTTCTCTCTCCCATCTGTGTGTGTCTAGTGTGGATGGGAAGTATGTACCTCAAGGGAAGATTGGAGTCTGCGTGTTGGGTCTCCACTCTGCTAAAGATGTAAGATAGACATTTCTTGCCTCACCATTCTCCTAACCCCTCCCCTCTCTCTCCCTCTATTTCCTCCCTCTATCTTACTCCACCCCCTCCATCTCCTTCAGTACAAGTTGCTTCTCTATGTGACCCAGAGCAAGCACATTACCTCAGCCAAGATAGAGGCCTCCTTTGCCTTCACTGTAAGACTCTATGCAGCCAAACACACACACGTGCATTAATCTCTACAGAGATTTAACCCACCACTCGATGTACAGAGATTTAACCCACCACTCAATCACACTGTTTTTACTGTCAGTGTATTGTACTGCAGCTATTAGAGCAGATGCTAATGGTGGTAGAGTGTGTTCAGGGCCCATGTTTACACACCTGTTCTCAGTGCCTACAATACCAAACACACATCACCTCTCCTCTCCCTCTCTCAATTCCCTTCTTTCTCCTCTCTCCTCTCTCCGTTCCACACAGGTACAGCGAAATCACTATGCCAGTTTCTATGACGACCAGAGGCAGGCGTGGTCTCTACATTTCGCCTCCGAGGAAGACGCTGTCAAACTGGCCAAAGAAGTCAGTGTCCCCATTTCCCAGTCCATCTCAGCTCCCTCTCCCTCCATTAGGTGGCAGTGTGTAAAGCTCTGACGGCTGGGAGCTCAGTGTCTCTCATCAAACAGGACCTCGTTGTGGGGGAGGGGCCGGTATGATCTCTTCATTACATCATCTGATTAGTCATGTGACTGTCATGTGATCCCAACAGGCAGTGGATAAGGGAGATTCCGTTGACGTCAAGTACACTGGTTGGCTCTTTGAAAATGGCATTGGAAAAGTGAGTACTATCTCATTACATCATAATGATGTAATCCCTAATTCCTTCTCCTTAGAAATTTGATGGAAACACAGACAGTGACAAAAGCTTCAAATTCAAAGTTGGAAAAGGCAAAGTCATCAAGGTGGGTAAAACTCTTGATGATGTCACCATTACATCATACAGATTGTGTGTGTGTGTGTGTGTAGGGATGGGACGAGGGGATGGTGGGGATGACAAAGGGAGGAAAGAGAATTCTGGTCATTTCTCCAGCTCTTGCTTACGGCTCACAGGTAAACCCTGCCCCCCAAATGTTGACGCAAGTCGCTGGGTCGAGTTGCGTAAGTCGCAGCAATACACAACACTATTATATAACACTAGATTAGAGTCCACTTATATTACAGTGTTTTGGTTTGTTTGTCAAGTTGCTGGAGAATACATAAGCACAACAAATGTGGAGTCAACTCTTCACTTAAGTTATGATGTAATCTGATGTAACACAAAGAGAGGGGGTAGACTGCTAGCGTTCATTGTGAACTAGGCTTTAGTCAGTGATGTGACTCTGGCCTGACAGGGTGTGAAGGACAGGATCCCGCCGGGAGCTGTTCTGGTCTTTGAGGTCGAACTGAGGAAACTGAAACTGGGCAAGGAAACGAGAGGCCGAGGTCGCCACGGAAATGTTAGTATTCTCTCTCACACTCGTCCACAATTCACATCCCCCTCCTCCCGTCTCTCTCTCTCTCCTCTCTCTCTCTCTCTCTCTGTGTGTGTGTGTGTGTGCAATAATTCTAGACTGGAGCCTCCCCCACCCTCACCTCCGACCTCCCGAGAGAGAGGAGGCAGTGTGAAGGAGATGACTCAGTCATTCGAGGACCACCTCACCGCGCCCTCCGAGGAGACGGAGGAGAACCAGCGCAGCAAACTCCTCTCAAAGATGTCACGACTTGGAGGACAGGCAATACTCCCTCCCGGAACCATGCCGACTCACCACGTGAGTCAGGGGGTGTGGTCTCAGTGGCGTGGTCTTTGTGGGTGTGGTTAGTATGGTACTCTTGTAGGTGGAGGCTGAAGAGCAGCCAGCAGCCCCAGCTGCTTCCCAGCCTGGAATGATGACATCACAACCTGGAATGATGACGTCGCACCCTGGGATGATGACATCGCAACCTGGGATGATGGCGGGACAGCCTGGAATGATGACTGGTCAAACAGGAATGATGGCGGGTCAAACAGGAATGATGACAGGTCAAACAGGAATGATGCCAGGGTCAAACAGGACTGATGGCGGGTCAAACAGGAATGATGGGTGGTCAAACAGGACTGATGGGTGGTGGACAGCAGCCTGGGATGATGAATGGAGGAATGATGGGAGGAGGGATGATGTCACAGCAACTGGCTCTATATAATCCCCACCAGAGCAGACCTCCATTCATGAACCAGGGACCTTATGGACCACAGGTAAGTACAGCTAGAAACCTTCGACGGAGAAACTTTCAGCAATTTCACATTTTTTTGTGGTCTGCGAAAGTGTCTCTGTTGAATTATTGTAGGCTGAGACATTCTTATTGCGGACCAACTAGTTTCCTAGTGAAATTTGAGTGCTATTTGCTATATTATACTGAAACTCAACAAAATCGTCGAGCTAGTTCCGTTTCTATACGGCCGTCTATCCATTTGCTCTCTACTGCCGTGTGTAGTGATGTTCTCTTGTGCAGTTTGCAGGTCAGACCACAATGGGATGGAGCGCGAGGGAGAGGCTGGACACATACGGACGGGCCAAGACTCCCAAACCATGCCCACACATGTCCCAACAGCCACGCACCCCACTGCCCAACACAGCAGCCTACGGCTCAGGTGACTGTCACATGACGCAAAAAGCTTCATGAGTGTATATCATGACCTTACAGGATGCAGCCAGTGCCACGTTGCTATCGGAGACCAAGCACCAAACAACAGAGGTGAGGGCGGAGCTTGGGAAACTCAGCGGAAAGGTCGACGAACTTCACTCCAAGGTACACACACGGCGAGTGGATCATGTGACTGTCATGTGACCTGTTTCCAGCTGGACAAGTTGAGGGAGGAGGGACCAGGGGGCGGAGCTCTCGTTCCCGCATCCAGACACACCCCCAACATGGAGGCTGCCGTTCTGCTGCACAACATCCAGCGAATCATGCAGGCAAGTTATCAATTACATCACTATGACATCATCAGCGATCTCTATGATGTCATTGCATTTACTGTATAATAATAGCAGGAAATTTAGAGAAAACCTCATGATGACATCATACTTATTTACCTATCACATGATATCACAATGACATCATTGGCCACACCCACTGATTCTGCAGGAGAACGAGCACCTGAAAAAGGATATGTTTGAGAAGAGTGCGAGGATCGAGACCCAGAACCAGAAGATAGCGGAGCTGCTGGAGCGGAACCAGCGCTACGTCGAGCAGAGCAACACCATGCTGGAGCAGAGGAGTGACGCATTCAAGTCGACGGCCACGTCCTCACAGGTCAAGGTCCTCCAGCTGGAGCAGGAGAAGGTGAGAGAGAGGCGTGGTTCGTTCATGTTTCGTGGAGTGTTGGTAACAATTGTACTTGCATGCCACTGGCTATGGGAAAGATAGTAACAAAGTAACAATAATCTAGCAACGAACCTTTAGAAGTGCATAAGTCTGTGGTGAACCTGAACATGTGCTCCATAAGACAGAATGCTCGGTATTTTAGTGCTGGATGAACAAAGGGCATTCATTGCCTCAAGAATTGGAGCTAGAAAAGAACATTCTCGCCCCAAACATTTCTCCCCAAATGTTTGAACACACCATTCTTTGTTACCATGTGTGTATGTAAATCATCAGGTGAACCTGACGTCAGAGTTGAGTACTCAGATGGCCCACCTGAGCTCACTCCAGATGGAGCTGACTGGCTCCCGACAGAGAGAGGCGGAGACTGAAGACACGGCTGGCAACTGCTGTCGCTGAGAACCAAAAGGTCGCCGAGAATTGGACCTCACTCAAACAGAGCCAAGACGGTACGTGAGATGGACCACTGTGGTCTCTATGGTAGACAGAGTGGTATTCTTTCCTTGGCAGAGCTGCAGGGCCAGGTGAGCCAGATGACGTCGGATCTGAAGGAGGAGAGGGTGGCTGGGAAGAGGGTGAGGGCAGAGTTCCAGCAGCTGAGAGACGACCACGCCGAGCTGGTCGCAGAGAGAGACAGCCTCCAGAAGGTTTGATCACCTCAAAGAGAAAGGCAGAGAGTTTAGCTTAGTGTGAAAAATTCAGTGGGTATACAATATGTATTGGTGCATGGAGAAGGAGGAATGTAAAGTCCCAGTGACTGAGCTTCACAGCAGGTGGTGTTTGTGGTGTGAGACACTTGAGAGTAGGCACAATGTTTTCTTGGGGCAGTCAATTTTGCTGCGTCGAACTAAAGTCTTTTCGCTAACAGTAATGTGGAGTACCATACTCCATACTCCACTGTACATTTTCCTTTCTTATCACAAATTGAGGCTTGAATAATACTATGGCAAAAAGATAGACAATTGAATGTGATTGTTTGTTTTTCTGAAGGTAATGTCAGAGAGCAAGAGGAAGATGGGAGAGGCCAAGCGGAGGTGGGAGGAGGAGGTCGAGGAGTTGAAGTTGGCCCACGAGACGGAGCTGTCTTCCCTCAGGGACCGCATGAGGAAGGAGAAGAGCGTAGCGTCGTCGGCGACAACAGAGCAGCTGTCTCGCCTGGAGAGGGAGCTGGAGGAGCAGTGGAGGGGCCGGGCGGAGAGACAGGCCAGCTCCGCAGAGGAGAGGTGGAGGAGGAAGATAGAGGAGATGGTGGAGGAGAAGGGATCTCTGGAGGAACAGCTGAAGGAGGCCTCTGCCAAGGTTAGAGGGGGAGATGAGAGAATGGAGTCAACCTCAAGAGGCAGCGTAAATATTATAGCTTTTTCACCTGTTTTTTCCCAGGAATTTCATGAATGTTAGGTGCTGGCAAAGACAATATTTTTGCCAAGTACTTTTGTCGATTGTAAAAAAAACCTCTCTCTAGTATCACAACATAAAGAGTAGGAAAACGTATTCCATCTTCTCTTGTTGAATGTGTGTGTGCAGGTGGAGGCCCTGAGGAGGCAGGACAGCACTCAACGACTGCGTCAAGTGGAGGAGGAGCTAGCCGACGCCCGGGCGGAGCTCCAGGGAGCGAGGGAGAGGGAGGGGCAGGCGAGGGAGAGGGAGAGAGAGGCGAGACAGACAGCTGCCAAAGCTGAAGACAAGAGCAGTCAACTCGAGCAGCAGCTGACTGAGGTGCGCATTGTCCAATCACTTGATGTTGGGTGAAAACATCATTGATGATGTATTGTTCATCTCCAGAGATTGGCAGCTGCCAGAGAGGAGGGGTTCCAGGCCGGGCTCCAGGAGGCCACGCCCACTAGCTCCGCCCCCTCATCTGTCGGGGAGGAGGAAGTGGGGAAGAGGGTCAAGAGCATTATGAACCACACCTACCAGATAATGGCAGAGAGACTCAAAACAAAGGAGGAGTTCCCGAGGTCAGAGGTCCTCTCGTTGCTCCTGGCAACCATCAAGGTGGGTGTGGCATATATATGTGTGGGTCGGTGTTGGTGTGTATTAATTAGGGAAATCAACAAGATGAAATTTTGAAGACCACATGTGTAATGCACAAATGAGAGAGAAGAGAGTTGAAAAAGAAGGTGGAAGCGAGATAGGGGGAAAGAAGAAAGGTTGGAGGGAGATAGGGAAATACAAAAGGTGGGAGCGGACGTAAGAAGAAAGAAGAAACATTGGGTGAAATGAACAATTGGGGCAAGATGGAAAGTTTGTGTGTTGTTTTGCAGGAGATTACTCTGAAGGCTTTGGCTTCACCGCAACAGTCTGGGACTGGGACACAGCTAGCAACAGCCAGGGACGAGAGAGAGAGTGAAGAGGAGGAGGAGGAAGAGGAGGAGGAAGATGAAGAGGAAGAGGAGGAGGAGGAGGAGGGAGAAAAGGAGGAAGAGGGAGGAGGGGAGGGGGGAAAGGAGGAGGAGGGAGGAGGGGAGGGGGGAAAGGAGGAGGAGGAGGAGGGGAGGGAGAAAAGGAGGAAGAGGGAGGAGGGGAGGGGGGAAAGGAGGAGGAGGGAGAAAAGGATGAGGAGGGAGGAGGGGAGGGGGGAAAGGAGACAGAGACGACTGTTGTTACAGAAGGTTTGTCACTTTATACAGCAGTACCACGAAGTGTTTATCTGGTGGTGTGCTCCAAATAGAAGAGAAGCCTCTGCCAGCATCAGACACATCAGACGGTCATAATGTTCCCGTGGCAACTGAGGAGATCACACTCCTCCAGACTCCACCCATTCCCTCTTCCTCTGCTGAGACGACAGTAATAGAAGAAGCCACACCTCCAGTGACATCTGTAGAACCCCTCCCACCTCTTGAGACCACACCCCCTTCTGCTGTAGTTGAGGAAGCTCCACCCACTACTCCGCCCACTGCTGTACCAGAGGGCGAGGGAGACAAGCAGGTGGATGATGAGGAGGGAGAAACCTCAGGTATATACACCTTTTTGCTAGATTTTACGACTAGCTTTTACGAGTGTGTGAATGTAGAAGAGGAGGAGGAGGAGGAAGAAGAAGAAGAGGGAGAAGAGGAGGAGGAGGAGGAGGGAGAGGAGGAGGAGGAGGGAGAGGGAGAAGAAGAGGAAGAGGAGGAGGAAGAGGAGAAAGAAAAGGAGGATGAGACTAAACAAACACAAGAGCCTGTCCTACCTGAAGAGCCTCAACAGAAAGCTCCGTCCCCTCCTCCTCACCCCTCACCTCCTCCTCAGTCGAGCAAAACACCGAAGAAAACAGGTGTGTTTCTCTCCTCTACCAGTGAGTGACTTGCTCCATTCTCGTTCAGAAGGAGAAGGTGATGGGTTGTTCAGTGATGATGAAGACAGTACTGACCTTTTCGTGACCCCTGGTCGACCTCCTGACATGGCTCCGCCCACTTCCTCTGCGAAGAAAACGATGACCAAAGCAGAGAAAGATGCTCTGAGGTTGGTAGAGCCGTCCGTGGTATAAACAGTGTGTTAGAGCACCCAACCACGCATGCAGTACATGTACTATACCAAGCTGATTCTCTCTTTGTTAATAGTGCTGAGGTGTTTGGAGGGAACAGCTCGGTGTTCTCTCAATCTGATAACCTCTTCTCTACTCCTGCCTCTTCCACTGACGACCCTGTGAGCCACCCTCTCCTCTTCCTCTCACTCCTCTCCCTCCATCATTCCCTCTCTCTATCACACATACATTTACACCAACACTATAAACCGGTTAAACCAGTTCGAAACCACTCAGTTTGTTGTCAAAACTGGTTTAAGCAGGTGGTTCTAAGTTTAAGACCTGCTTATGTGAATGGGGCTAACTCTCCCATCTGCTCTGATCAGGCGGCGAGTGAGGTGATAGCAGAGACGTCGTCCAAACCTCCTCCCAATCCTCTGTTTGGCAGTGACGAAGAAGACGACCTCGACTGGCTCAAGTGACCTTTGCTTCTCTCTCTCTCTCTCTCCCTCTCTCTTCTCTCCAGACAGCCCCTAGTTTTTGTGGTGTAGCTCTCACTGTGTGTGTGTGTGTGTGTGTGTTGACAGAGGATCTTTTCTGCATCAATTGTGTTCTCTTTTTCCAAAGATATAATAATATTATAACGAGTGTCCATGATCAATGACGGTATATGAAAACAGTACAGTCGGCGCTGATGATTACACTAGTATATAGAGACTCTAGCTGGGTGGTGTGTGTCCCCAGTCCATTCCACTAGATGGACTGGAACTGGTTCCGGCAGTCCAGTCTCTGGATGTTGTCCAGAATTGACTGGAGGAGGTCTCGATGCTGCTGCAGATTTCTGTGGCTCTCTCTCAGCTCTCCTGATGACGCCTCCAGCTGCCCCACCTACATCACGTGACTTCTTTAGCTGATCACGTGATTGTCACGTGACCACACCCACCTGGTCTTGCAGGGCGTCCAATGTTACTTGGTTGCTGTCTGCCTGAGCTTCCAGCTCCGTTACCATGGATCCCACGTCCGACAAACGGTTGCTGGGCAACAATTCTGTGGAATCCAGGTCCACCTTGAGCTCATCCAAAACTCCCTGTATATATAATAATACAAACAGACGATGCCCCAAATACAAAAGAAAAAAGACAGCATTGCACATAACGTGACGTGCATTGAGGACTGCTCCTGCAAAACAGCTCCAATGAAAAATCGCACAAAATTTAACAGAATATACTCAAGCACAGCTGACCGTCAGTTGCTGAATCTCCTCCTGTAAACTACTGGCATCAGACGAGGCTGTTTGAGCCGCTTCTGTTGCCGTGGTGATGAGCTCCTCAGTCTCCGTGGAAACAACCTTTAGCTCCGCCCCCCTCTCTTCAGAAGCCGACACATTACCACGTAGTTCCTCGGCTTCGCTTGCCAGGAGAGTGGCATTAAATAGAGTGTTTGTCGCTTCTTCCCTCACCCTCAGAGCAGCCTGTACCAACAGGCCATAGTCCAGAGGAGAGACTAGCTCTATAGGCCACACCTACCTCCAGGGCCTGAGCAGTGAGCTGACTGGCTTCCTCGAATGCCTTCACTGCCTCCTCCGCCTCCCTGACAGCCTCGTTGACTTCTCCTCTCCTCCTCCCCCCCTCCCTCTCGGCCTCGGTTACCAACTCCTCTGCCACCAGTATATTCCGCACCACCTGTAGACAGCAATACAGAGTGTATGTACAGGTTAAAATTCTTGTAATGTCCCTAAAATTCTGTAATTGACTCATTGGTCTCGATGTTTTATTGCCGCAATACATTAGCTTCTGCACCTACTGTTTTCCATGTGCATGTGTCTAATGGAAGCAGCGATCGTAACAATCTGCAAGTCTTTCAACGAGTAAAACACTGCGAACGTGTAATTCTCTGCATCCTCACTTCCTCCAGCCCGCTAACAATTCCACTGCTGTTCCCCAGCCTCAGCTGCAACTGTGTCAGTATCTCCTCCACTGAGGCCACAAACTCACTCCCTTCCTCCACCGTCTGGTTGGCAAATGAGAGCGCGGCGTGAGCCCTCGCCAGCAGCTCCACCGACAGTAGATTGAGACTGTCGGACTCTGCCAGGAGCACCCCTGCTCTCTCTCTCACCTCCTCCACCTCCCTCTCCACTCCCCTCAGTTCCCCTGACACCGCACCAGTGTCTGATACCAGGTCCCGAGTGACGTTCTGCAGAGCCTCGAGTCTCTCCTCCAGCTCACTTGTGTCGTAGTCGGATATCGTTACGTTGTTCAGTCGCTCCAGAAGGGCTGTGGACTGGTCCACTGCAAATGCCACTGTTAGCCGAGCCTCGCGAAGGTCGGAACTGGCATCAGTGAAAACAGAGTCTAGTCTCATGCTCTCTTGACGGAGTCCCTCCAGCACGAGTGAGGTCGTGTTTTGGAGCGAGATAGTGAGAGAGAGGAGATCTAGGGCCTGCTGGACCAACGCCAGGGACTCAGTCGCCGAGCTCAGAAGATTGAGTGCTAGGTAGCGATGACCAAAGGAGGATTGGTTGGCCTCGCGAGAGAGGTTCACAAGCTGACTGAAGAGACCATCAATTTCCTGCAGACTCTTTGAGGCACGAGAGAGAGAGGTCACAAGGTCAACCCTGACTGCGGTCTCAACAGCTTCCAAACTCCCTGTCAGACGACGCAGCAGCTCGACCACTGAGTCAAACTCCGCCGCAATACGCCCCAGCCCCTCCTCCGACAGGGACACGTTTCGCTCCAACCGACCAATCAGATCTTCTAAATTGTCGGTCTCTGTGGCAACGACACTGACTCTAGAAGTGAGGTTACTCTCCTGGCGTGCGAGGAGAGTTGCTCGAATCAGCATGTCCTCCAGAATCAGGCGATAGTCTGAGATCTCTTGGAGAAGGTCCCCAGGGAGTTGGCCAGGGGAGGTGGAGTTGAGGTGGGAGATGAGAGAGGAGAGGAGGCTTTGAGTCCTGTTGAACTCCACGTACACTTGATCATAGCACGCGGGGCAAGCTGGGAAGAAGAGAGAGAGAGGGGAACAGAAGTTAACGGAGACACAGAGAAATGCTCAGAGGGCCCCAGAGGGTGTGGTTCGGGGAAGTGTGACTGAAGCCCTCTTCATGAAAGCCAGAGAGAGGCATTGGCCAAGGGCCAAGTCAGGCCACAGCTGACCACAGGCACCACAAACACCACCTGCTGTGAAGCTCAGTCACTGGGACTTTACATTCCTCCTTCTCCATGCACCAATACATATTGTACACCCACTGATACTTCACACTAAGGCTTACACGATTTCATGGTTGTTTGGTTGGTTTTGGTACAAATCCTTATGAACTACACTCCCCCTTCCATATGTAACACAAATCGAGTTGTGCATGTCAAGCTAGCGAGGCTCTCTCCATCCCATATTCTACACCACCTCCACCAGTGTTACCGCTAGAGGTAATGCGATCTCTTCTCACGTACCTTGGCAGCCGGCTGGGTCGGAGAGGGACAGCTGGTGGAAACTAGTCTTACACTGGGAACATCTCCCGTCCTCCTCCTCCTCCACGTTGGTCTTACACTGGCAGCTCTGACTGGCGGGAGATGCCGGTGATACGGAGGGAGGAAGGAGACAGCTCGCCTCTCCACCCACCGTCCCTCGAGGGTCGCAGTCACACACTGACAGGAGAAATACGAAACTAAAGGCTCATACACGAGGTAATGTGTGACAAAAAGTTGAAAGATGGCACACATTTACGAAAGACAAGAAACTGCCAACTTGCTATCATATACATGGGGTAGCTTTGTTACTTGCAAGAGATTGCTGGCTAATGGTATGACAGGCTTAATTCAGTTGGGCCAGAGTGGCTGTTCTATTGCAGAACTGACTAAACCACTCAGGAACAGCAGTGGCAGTGGGCAGAGTGTCAAAAACACGTGGAGCCCTACCAAACCACAGACTTCAGACCCCAACACCGCTGGCCAAGACCTGAGTCACTCACGGGTGCAGTAATCAGGACTGGCGAGAGGGAGGCTGGGACTTGGGTAGTAGCTGAGGGTACATCGCTGGCACTGTTCACCCTCAGTGTTGTCCCGGCAGCTCTCACAGACTCCTCCACTCACATTACCACTGGCCACATACACCGCAACGTCGAAACGACAGACGTCCGAATGATTGTTGCAGTTGCAGGCTGGACAGAGAGAAAGATGGAGGAATAGAGCTCAAAATTTACTTTGGTGAAGACCTATTTTGCGTTCTCAAATACTGTAATATCCTAGCTCACTTTAAAGAGAGGGCGAGGGTGTAAGCTGGACTGAGAGAAAGGGAAGAGGTTTGTACACTCATTAATGGAGACAAATGTATCGTCAATAGAGGGCAGAGGGAGGTCCAGCTGACTGGAGCCAGTCATTACACGGTCTACTGGCCGACAGGAAAGACGACACCTTCCCAACTGAGATCTCATTCCCCAGCAAAAGCAGGTGGACACTGAAATTCCCACTCTCCAATCTGAATCAGTCGTCTCACGAGGCGCCAAAAGAAATTGAGCTCTCAGTTAACTAAATTCATTGCTTCTGTCTGCGGCTAATGTGTCCATGCAACTATAGACTGCTGTGCCCACACGTCCAACACACACATGCTAAGAACCCACCTGCACAGCTAGTTGGGTTGTCAATGGTAGCGCGACTCCACGGAACATCCTGGTAGAAATCCAGGCATTCGCCACAGTCTCTCCCATCCGTCCCATGTTCACACTCACACGTCACATCTCCCCCTGCCACACTCCCAGAACAGGTCCTAGCATGCCCGTTGCAGTAACAAGTCCCCGATACTTCCACGTTGGAGACTGCGTAAAACTGGGCCGCAGCATCCTGACCGTCGAAACGTAGCTGAATGTGAGTAGCCAGAACCCATTCCTGCAGTTGCTGGCTGTCTGCAAGATCCCCCGGACGGTGTTCGAGCGGTCGGAAAACAGTTTCTTCGCTGCTCGTCCCTCCTGCCCCAGCCGACGTGCACAGTGCTACGTCTTCTTCACCGACATCCACATCAGAGCTCTCTGCAACGCCGTACGTCGCCTCGCACGAGAGAGAAAAGTATTGGAACGGCACGAACGTCTCGCCGTAGTCCGTCGACTTGTAGATGGCGTATGACTGTGGACGCGAGGAGAAGAAGGACACGGACACGCTGCTGATCTCAAATTTCTTGCTCAGTGGGAAAGTGACGACTGCCGAGGAGCGGAACGAGAGCCAGAACGTAAGGTTCTCTCCCTCCACGACGTTTGGGTCTGTCATTAGAGACGGAGGGTGCCCCTGCTGCGCTACACTGGCGTCGCAGTAATCGCATTGCGTTCTGCCGTCTGTGGTCTGGTAACAGAACTTCTCCGGACCTCGCTGGCCGCATGAGTCGCTGGCCACCGGCTCAAGGCCGGCCAGTATGTTTTCATCGTGCGGGGGAGCGCAGGCAATTGGTTCCCCGCCTTCCTCGCACACAGCCCGCGCAAACTCCATCAAACTGCAGAGACCCAGCAGAAGCAGGGCCCTCTTCGTCCTAGCCATCAGGGACCGATCCTTCCCTCAGTAAACATCGCTGCAGCGGAACGCCGGTGATGATAAACTCCGCGTGTGTGCGTGGGTGGGGCTGACTTACAATTTGCGCATGCGTAAGCGACGCGTGCGGTACGACGACGACGAGGTCCATTCGCGTGGCCTCGAGTCGTCAGTGCAGTCACCATGGCTCTCTCGTGTCGTTTCTACAAACACAGATACCCCAAGCTGGAGGACGTGGTGATGGTAAACGTTCGCTCCATCGCCGAGATGGGTGCCTACGTGAGTCTGCTGGAGTACGACAATATCGAGGGGATGATCATGCTGAGCGAGCTCTCGCGACGTCGGATCAGGTCCATCAACAGACTGGTTCGCATCGGCCGCAACGAGTGCGTGGTAGTCATCAGAGTGGACGAGGAGAAAGGTGAGCAGCTTGTACTCGTACACACATACTTTATTTTATGGTCACGTGATCCTGATGACGTCACAGGTTACATCGATCTCTCCAAGAGGAGGGTATCGTCGGAGGAGATCCAAAAGTGTGAGGAGAAGTACTCCAAAGGAAAGACTGTGAGTTGGAACACTACTAACAAAGCCTACATCTTTGGGATATATACCGAGTGACCTTTTTCGGAAGTGTCCCTTGTTCAGACGTCATAATGTGTTAGTATGGGGCAGAACAGAGATATCCTTATTTGGAGGGTCCATTTTTCAGAGGTCTCACTGTCTCTTTTCTCTGACACCACTATATACTATATTACATTATACCAAAGGTGAACAGTATTCTTCGCAACGTGGCGTCAAAACTGGAGTATGAGAGCGAGCAGTTGGAGGACCTGTACGAGCGGACAGCCTGGGCTCTGGAGACTCGCTCCGGCCTCCCTGCCAGCTCCTACGACCTCTTCAAGAAGGCGGTCGTGTAAGTCTCTTGTTTTTGACGGCAAAGACATTTTTACAGCAATCTGCAACAGGAATTTGAGAAATTTTTGTGATCGTCTCAGCAAAACGTTGTGGGCAGAGATAATTTTGTACAGGGAAGCGTGCAATGTACGAAAGCTCAGTGAACGTAGAAAGAACCTTGGTTTTTGGACCATTTGTATGCGAAGGAATTGAAAGTCTTAGTTCTACTAAATGACCAAAGTTTTATCCCGTGAATGTTTCCTAATTAATGCTATACCACTGTGTATTGTGTCTGCTGCAGAGACCCGACAGTGCTGGATGACTGTTCGTTCTCCAGTGAGGAGGAGAAGGAGACACTGTTGAGTAACATCAGACACCGCCTCACTCCACATCCCGTCAAGATCAGAGCCGGTAAGACGATAGCGAGAGAAAGAGGGGGAGAGAAAGATTGACAAACTTTGAAAAAACGTATCGCAAATTGCTTCTTCAACTGTCCAATGGTCCGCCTGAAAAACTAAGCAAGAAGCCTTTCCCAGTTTGCTGTGAGGCTCATGTAAACCTTGGTAAATTTTCTCTGCCTTCAAAAGTTCCACACTATTACATAACAACGTGTTGTTCCCCTGCAGATGTGGAGGTGTCGTGCTATGCTTACGAAGGGATAGACGCAGTAAAAGAGGCCCTGAAAGCCGGTCTCCAGCAGTCTACTGAGGAAATGCCGCTCGAGATCCGACTGATTGCCCCCCCGCAGTACGTCATCACCACCACCACTCTGGACAGGACAGAGGGAGTCGCTAAACTGAACACGACCATTCAGGCAAGAACCTCCTCCTCACCTGTACCCCCAGCTCGGTGCCACCCACCCGGTGTCTCTCTCTCTGTCTGTACAGGTCATCAGAGAAACAATTGAGGAGAAAGACGGACAGTTTGCCGTCAAAATGGAGGTACGTGAGACAACTGAGGATGTAACACAACTGCAACAATAAACACCTTCATTACTCTAATATTGTCATTACATTGTTCATTTAAAATGCTGCCTAAAATTTTATTGTTTGTGTTTTTTTTCGTAGCCCAAGGTTGTCACGGATACGGAGGACGAAGAGCTGCGGACACAGATGGAGGAGCTGCGATTGGCCAACGAGGAGGTTGGCGGGGACGACGACACCTCGGATCAGGAGGGCGTGGCTGTTGAGGACTCTGAAGATGCCCCGGGACCTTGACCTTTGCACTCTGTGTGATTTATCAATAATTGTTCATGGAAGCACTAAAACCAAGGATGTGTGTGCACCATTTTGGTATACTTCAGTAACACATTGTAAAGAAATTAAATTGAAGCACCACCTAGGCTGGCTCCACGTCAGAAATAGGATGTCAATTGCCGCAACTTTGTTGTCTTACATCCTCATACATCCTCTTTCTAGCCCCACCCTCACACTGATAGCCAACTTGAATGGTACGAAAATAATGAAGAATGCTCATCACTGCACTGGATCACATGAATTGATCTATACACGACAGCAGCCATGTGGGAACTAGTAAGGAGCTCAGGTCGATTCTAGGCTGATCAACTGCTCTGGATGGATGGGTACCAGCTGGAGGGTACGAAAACTGAATTGCTTTGTGTAATTGTGATAAAACTAAATAACACGTATCAAATATGAAAAGAGGTGTGTACAAAGGTGGAGGAGTATATACATTGAGGAGGAAGTAAGGAACGGAGGGAGAGTCTAAGACTGTTTCTGTGTCTTCCTCTCGGCGATGTCAGCAACGAGGTGGACGGCTTCTGTCAGGAGAGAGTCAAGGAGTCCGTCTGCTACCCTCAGTTTCACTGCAGTCTCGTCTCTGTGGTAGTCCACCCAGCTCGCCTCCTCTCTCCTCAGCTCCCTGATGAGGACCGAGTCGATGAAATCAACATCTTTCCCACCGACTCGCCGCATACCGTGAAGGAACTTTGCCGAGGGGAGGGGGACAGGGGAGCTGGCCTCGTACCAACCTCCCCCTCACTCTCCTCTGGACTCTGTCAAGATCAAACTCCGCCTGGCGTTGTGTGCGGGCGGCCACCAGGTGCGAGTTGAGGGCGGGGGAGAATCTGGTCCAGACCGAGACGTCGGGGTCGCGAGGGGCGGAGTCTCGGAGGACCTGGAGTGTAGTGTCGTAGACAAGTCTGACATAAGCCTCGTGGCAGTGTTCCTCGCTGGAGCTGAGATCGGAGAATAGGGAGATAATGTGGGCGGGACAGTCGGGCGGAGAGAGGGCGGGTTCACTGCAGGAGCCACGGAGGTCGTTCCAGAGCGAACAAGTGTGTTGGACGATGGTATCGATGTGGTGTGTGGCACTGGGGACCATGCAGTGGGCTGAGGTGAAGTCCTGTTGGTCCAGGAGGAGACTGGTGAGAGAGGCACATGAGAGGGAGGGGGTGAGGGGAGGAGACGTTTCCCCGTGGTAAGGAGGAGAGCGCTCGCCAGCTGCCACCCGTGCCGCTGTGGCCGGCGGGAGATGGCGCTGAGGGGAACCTGGTGGGGAGGGAGGTGGGGACGAGGGGGGAGGGGGGAGAGGAGGAGAGGGCGGTGGGGAGACAGTCTCTTGTATGGTGGGTAGGGATGGAGGCGAGAAGAGAGCTGGAGATCCGTGTCTGTGAGGAGACGAGGGTGGCTCTGGGGAGGACTTGGAGGAACGAAGAGCACACACCAAGTCGGTCTCCGACTTGAGCAGCAGAGCCAGTAGCTGGTCTGAGATCTTGTCGGCCTTCAGCGTGAGCTCCGGCTTCTCCCTCTTCCTCCGTTCTAGACTCCTCATCACATCTTCTCTCTCAGCGGGCTCCAAGTCGCGTCGGAGGTGATGGTTGTTTCTCCGCGGACCCACAGGTGTCTCCAATACGTGGTTGGGTCTGGGGGAGGTGGGGGAGGAGGGAGAACGGTGTCGCCAGATCCGGTGCATTGTCTGAAATGCTTCATTCGCCAGCTCCTGGACGAGGTCAGATGTCAGATGGTCCACGCTGGTGTTGAGGTGAGCAGTCTGCGGTTCGGCAGTCTGTTTCGGAGCCTCTCTGGCGATGTCCGGTGGAGGAGCTGCCAGGTGCGGGGCAGTGGGTACATCTTCCTGGGGGAGGGTGAGCGGAGGAGGGACTGCTGGGGAAGACGGCTCTAAATCTCGGCTTCCCTCCACCTCAGCCATCTTCCCTGGACCAGGGTGGGTGCCTTCCGAGAGAAGGGTGGCGCCCCCTCCCTCTCCCTCGTTCCCCTGAGTCTCCTGTGGTCTAGGAGAGAGTGTAATCTCTGGTTCCTCTTCCTCCGACATGGCTGCGTCCCCTGATCCCTCGCTAAATTCATCCTCAGCCACCTCCTCTGGAACTGAGCTCTCCTCTGAGCCACCTCTCTCCTCCCCTTCCACTCCCTCTTTTCCTTCTTCTTCTTCTTCTTCTAAGAGTGAGACTTTACTGACTGGTGCAAAGACCCCGTGTCCAGCAGGGCAGTTGAAGTAGCGTTCGTCGTCAATCGATCCGTCGTTTTTCCCTTTCTCTGCGTCCAGTTCAACTCCAATCCACACCCCCGCTGTAAAGTGGGTGGAGCCAATGAAACGGACAGTTCCAGGCTCCGCTCCTCCAATCAGGACTCGTTGTCCAATGGCAAAATCCATGCCAACGCTTCCGACTCCCTCAGTTCCTCCTGTTGAGTTAGTTTCTCCTTCATTCACTGTAGCTTCTTTTACCTTTATTGCAGGTCCTTCACTTGCTTCCTCCAGTTCTCCCTCCCTCCCTCTCTGCAACTGATACTCAGCTGGTTGATCATCCAGTTTCCTCTCGGAAGAGGAGAGATTGCCGGCCACGAGGGAGCTGTGATCTGAGGCCCAGGTCTCCGTGTAGCTGGCTTCTTCTTCTTCTTCTCTCCTGGCAACTAATTCCTCTCTTCCTGCCATTCCTCCGCTCTTTGTCACAGTCACTTCTCTTTCTTCCTGACTCAAACTCCTTCGTTCTTCTGTGGCAGTCAGTCCTATCTCTTCCAACGGCTGATCATCTGCAGTTTGGCCTGGTTCATCTAGGGCTAGTTCTGCAGAGAGTCCTAGTGATGGCTCTCACTGACGCCTGTTTTGATGGCAGTGAGAGAGATCCAACTGAACTTCGATTGTCGTCTCATCTTCTTCAATTGACGGTGACAGTTCAGAGACCTCAGTTTCAACTGACTCTGACTCACTCCCTTCTCCCTCTCTCTTCTCCTCCACCTCTTCAGGCAGTGTTGCATCAACCACAGCAGACAGGCCGGCCTCCTCAGTTATATCACTGGTGGTTCTGGGGCTCGGTGAATGGCCAGAAGGTTGCTGACTGACAGGAGGAGGAGAGGGAGGAGGTTGTTGACTGGCAGGATGAGGAGAGGGAGGGGTCGATGAGTGCAGTGGTGGGAGATGGTTCTGTAGTGGTGTGGGACTCTGCAGCTGTGCCAGTTGGTTGTCCAGAGTCTGTGGAGAGAGAAATAAGACACACATCTTTAATAAGTTGTAGTGGACATTTCATACGTACATCAGGAACTTCGTTCTGTGCCAACCGTTACTACCGATAGCAAAATGAAAACCAGTAAATAACAAAATCAAAAAACAAGACAATCTGAATTGACGCCGATCATGATAGATCAGTAACGGTGTCTCTCACTTCAAGTCTGCTGCGAAGTCTGTTTTCCTCGTCCTTGAGTAGGGCCCTCTTTCTCTCTCGCTGCTCCCCCCTGGCCTTCCTCACCTCCTCCCTCCTCTCTCCAGCTCCTGCCTCAGTGCACCGATCCTCTCCTCCAGTGAGCCCACTCCACTAGTCCACTCTGGAGACAACAGAGACCGTGGTGCCTCGTTTCTCATGGCTAGCTACATACTAAAACATATCGGAAGTTGCTCAAAATAAACTGTGCGAAAAAGCATCGTAAACACAGTTTCCTGGTGTCTTTGCAAAAATTACTCTCACAATTTCTGACGTGAAAGCTTTATCTAATGTAAATGTACATGCAGCATGCAAGATTAGATCGCGTGTTTTAAAAGACTGTTATACCTATCCTGTCAGAGAGGAGCTAGCAATGTGTACATGTATAGTGTATGTGTAAGTGGACTGGGAGGTAGAGAGGCAAAGGCACAACAAACAAGTCAACTACACACCCAGCTACTAGGACATGTATACCTGATGACGGTTCTGACTCCGCCTCTGGAGGTGGGGTGGAGACAGGGAGAGGGCGAGAGAGGGCGTGGTCAGTGACAGAAGGGGTGTGGTCATGAGAAGTTGGCTCAAACGAGTCGTTGGAGTAATTAGAGTTCTGGTGGGTGTGACTTCCTCGGAGGGGGTGTGGTCTAACACCTCACTGATTACCTCACTCTCATTAGCAGGTGTAGTGCTGGTGGGTGTGGTCTGAGCCTTAGTGGGGTGTGTTTTCTTTGGAGTTACTGCTGTAGCTTTACCTCCAGACCTGTACATACGTATATGTATGATAGTGGCATGAACACCACTACATCATGCGACTAGACTACAGGACTCACATATTATCATTATGTCTGAGCTGGCGAATAATTGTTGGAGTGGATTCAGCAGCCTCTGTTGGCATGGTAACAGAGCCGGGTTGATCTTGATGTGCGTGAAGGCGGTTGGTGGACGACGAGTGGTGGGAGGGAGTGGGGGAGGGAGAGTAGGACAGCTGCGACGGTATTGGCGAGGAAACCTCCTCCTCAGACACCTGGAGATCACATGATCATCACATGACACACGAAAGAAATCACAGGACTGTCACATGACACTCCAGAGAGATCATAAGACTCTCACATGACACCAAACAGATATCACACTGTCACATGACACCTGAGAGAGATCATGTGAGCCTCACCTGACTGGCGACCTCAGAGAGGGTGGGGGAGTGATGATGAGAGGGGCTGGCGGTGGATGGGTGCTCGATGTGGTCCTGTGCCGAGTGCCTCCTCAGTTTCTCGCGGTAGTACTGCGCCGAGGACTGCATGTGTGTGATGGCTCTGTGCTGCTCCAACAAGAGTCTCCTCTCTCTCCTGGCCTCCTTGTGGGCCCGCTGGAGCCGGCGAATCTCCGCCTGCTCCGCCTCCAGCTTCTTCAGGAGTCCTCTCGCCTGCTCTCCAGTGACGGCATCTTGTCGTCGTCCCCCTTACCTCATCAGCCTCCGCTGCTTTAGTTTCAGCCACTCCATCTCTGCCTTTGTCCTCTCCTGTGACACACACACACAGGGAACACCACATCATTACATCTACTGTATTGCTGGTCGTCTTCCAAGAGGGGAAAGAATCTTCTTCCTACCTAAAATGGTTTGCCACATTGGAAAAATTTTTGCTACAACCTCCCTTTGTGAACACTGCTCAGACCTTCAACTTTTTCTCCTCATGTATCTTGCTCCAACCTTTCATCTCCCAGTAAGAACATCTGTACCTTGAGGGCCTTCTCCCTGAGTTGGAGGAGGAGAGCTCTGTGTCTCGAGCGGACCTCCTCTTCCTTCATGTACTGCTCCATCATCCGAGACATGAACCCGAAGAATGAGTCCTCACCTCCAGGTCTGCTGGTGGAGGGAATGTCAGTACAATGAAGTCACACATGCAGAAAGAAATGGTGAAGTTTGAGAAATTGAGGAGTGCAAGAGATGATTGGTGGTGGTGTCTCACGTGAAGGGGGAGGGAGAGCGGTCCCCACGGAGGGAGGAGGGGTGTGGGGGACGGAGTGGGCGGGGCTAGAGGGGCGGGACTCTGACTCTGTGAGGGAGCTGCGATGAGAGTATCTCTTGCGATGGCTCTCTGACGGCAGCAGCTCTCTGAACGAGGACTGAACAGAACATTATGGAGTGATTGTCGTAAAATCGACACTAGCACAGAGAATGGTCGACTAAGACACACAAACAACCGAACAAAAATGAAGCAACCAGGACTAGATGGCTATGTTGTAGTACCAACATTCAACATTCAACCGCTACTGAACACATTTACGTCATTATACAAGGTTGGCATATGTACCTCAGCCCTCATGTCAGTGTCTCCATCAACTTCTTCAGGTATAGTTACCTGAGACTCATCCCTCCTTCCTCTCCTCCTCTCTCGCTACCGCCAGGGGTCAGAGTACTCTCTCCACTGCTGTTCCCTGCCACGGCACTGGTGGTGGGCACTAATAAGGATCGTCCCGGTCTCAATCTCCTCAGTCAAACTGTCAGGTTGGATACTCCCCTCAAAATCGGTGGAGTAAACTGGGGGCTCGCATGGGGTAGATTGGGTGGGGTACGGGGTACAGACGAGGGAAGGATGTGCCACACCCACCATCGCTGCCGAGACCGCTTCCTTGGCGGCTGCCGTGGCGACAGAGACGGCCATGTTTTGGGCAGCTTCGACCTGGAGCCGAGCCGACGAAATGACTGCCTGACTGGCCGCCGCTCGAGCCTCTGCCAACTGTTGAGAGACTTCTCGTCTCTGCTCGACTCAACTCCTCTTCTGCAGCTGCTGCCCTCTCTTTCTCCCTCCTCTCTGCTTCCTCTCTGGCTCTTCTAGCCTCAACCTCTCCTTGCCTCGCCCTCTCTCCTTCCCTCTTCCTCTTCTCCTCTACCTCCCTGGCTCTGGACGCAGCGAGACTCATCTCTCTCTCGTGATCTTGTCTCTGTCTCTCCACCAGCTCGGCCAGCGATAAGCTCTCTTGTCTGGCACTGGTCACAACGCGACTACCCTCCACGGCCGAGAGCTGCCGCATCGATTCCTCTATTGTTTCAAGTAGTGTCAGCTCTGCCTGGAGTTTTAGCCCGAGGGAACGCGGTGAAAGTCGGTCTGCGTGCTGTGTGGGGTCGTAGAGGTCACAGGGTCGCGTTGTCTGCTGGACGATGAGTCGTGACTGGTGGTGAAGGAAGAGACGAAACTGGGAGAGCCAGGAGGAGTAATTGCAGGAATTTCCTCGTCCGCGCGAACTGTGTCTGCGGAGGAGTGACGGGGGTGGAGTGACTCTGTGAGGAGTGTGAGTTTGGTGAGGGTGTGACAGTGTGAGAGTGGGGGAGAGTGGCAGCCTCATAAGCAGTGGAGGATGCCGGGAATTCTTTGAGGTATGTTGAGGGAGAGTGGGTGGAGCCAGCGACTGAGTGGGCGGAGCTGTGTAAAGAGGGGAAGGAGAGGGTGTAGGAGTAATTAGAGGGGACATCCTCCACTGATGATCTCGGAGGTTGCCCGGTGGAGTGGGTGTGGTCTTGTGAACGAGGTGTGAGTGTTCTTCACACAAGACTTCCACAGCATCGTCTTTCATCAGTTGCTCAGTTCAGAGTTATCTGACTTTTGAGAGTAGAGAGGGTCTGGTGGAGGTGGCTTCTCTCCCTTGTGAATATGTTGATGACACTCAGCGGGTCCCCGCCCCCTTTCTGCCAGGGGTGTGTGGCCACTTTCGAGCTTGCCTCCTGCCGAGAGAGAGAGAGAGAGAGAGAACAGAGTTACGGAACTAAAACCTTCAACCATAGCAAACACAGAAGCAGTGTGGGAATATACACAGTTTCAGTGGGAGTCAGTAATACAACTTGTGTTTGCTGTAGTGAAGGTGTATATCTCTAGTCGTGACGTGTACACACACATACTGTATGATACTAACCTCAGTTGGGGCTACTGTGGTGGGCTTCAAATGGAGTACACTTGTGGAGGTCTGAACTGCGACAGAGTGAGAGGGAACGGCTGGCTTCAGGGGAACACTAGGAGATGACGTGTTGACCGTCTTCTGGACACCACTAGGAGCTGTTGTCAGGACAACATTAGAGGGTGTTTTCAGGACACCGTTTGTTCTAATTCCGTCTTCTTCTCCGTCCCCCACTCTGCCCAGCGAGGTCGCAAGGTTGCGACGTACTCTGTGCCGTCTGAAGAAGGCCTGGATCTGTGTGGCAGCTTCCCCTCGTCTCTCCCACATCCTCGGTGTAGAGCCGGGCCTGCCTGTTGACGTTACCTACCCCCGGCCCGAACCATGTCACGCTGTTGCAGAGAGGTCTAAGGCTGGCGAGTTGTTCCCGAGGTGGAGAGTCGCTTTTGCACGGTGATCTAACGACTCATGGGGTCTTGTAGCGAGCTTTTTTCACTCTCTTCAGCCCAGCTGCTATCTTCTTTTTTCCTTTTTCTTCATTCCAAGCTGATTGAGTGAGGGTCAAATATTCGGGTCTCATGGCTGGTACGTTGGCTTTCTGTTCGGTCCGGA